ACAAACACTCAGTCCATACATAAACGCCATACCTTGACCTTAAACACAGGGCCGCCAACCTCAAACAAAAGTCAAAGGACCGCCAAAGGTATTTACATACCGATAATGAAATACGTTGGTAAATTAAACCAAGTGATCCTATACTCCATTTATCACAGGTATGTTCACTCATTAGTCAATAAACAAGAGATGCCACAAATACCCCCATCTTATATCACGGGGTTTTATGTAGGTTAATTTATCACAATTATTTAAAGAAAACATTTCACTGATTTCATTGCAGGCTTAAATAAAAACTAAAGAGACATCCAAACTGCAGATATATAGCTCAGCCGTGCATATTTTCAAATTGCTAAAAATGGAATAACTATGGATGGAACAGAAGCTTTCATGTTTCTTGCCAAGATCATGAACTTTATAGTGGTAAGTTTATAAATAATGAAATCATTAATACAAGTAGGAATAAAGATCAAACTTGACGATTTAGGTAAGTTGAAGATTTTTTATGGGTTGATGACAATAATTTTAATTGCACATCTTTGGAAACTTTTTCTGCATCCTTATTTAACTTTTTAAGAATCTACCTTGACGTCACTCCATATCTAATAGTAACTTCGACATCTTTTGCAAAGCGGTCAATATAGTTTATTCCCTAATTGAACATTTTAACATTTAATTATAGTTGAATCTTGAGACAAAATAATTAATATAAAGACCAGTGGTGATTCAAGACCCAAAACATTTTTCATATTAAAGATCTCTCAAGAGTCATTCGGTTTTATGAAAGAATCGGTATGATACTTATCTTCGTAGTAAATGGCCAATTTGCGTTGATTTGAAAAACGTGCTCATTTAGCACGCAATGACATATGCCATTTGTCATGTAGATAAGATAACTATGTCTCAAGGACTACAATTGTTAAGAAACGTCTTTATTTAATCCCTTCCATTTAACATGAATCTTCCTGTATACGTATTAAATTGCAGTGGCACACTTTAATTTATGGTATTGGTCGTGATTTTTGATACGATTTTTATATAATCTGATATGTTTTAATTTCTCCGAAAAAAATGATGATTTGGCACCAGAAAGCTTCAATACCTAAGCACTTCATAAAACATTCTCATTCTGCTAGAGATTGTCAACCGTGCGACCACATACACGCATCGAGGACATATTGGAAAGAAAGTGATCGTGAAACCATATGCACTTATCGAGGACATGAAAGAAAGAAATGGCGTCTGTAACATTCTCTAAAAAAAGACACACTGGTTGATATGGTGACATAAAGTGATGATTGCATTAAATGGACTTTGTGATCCGGTAATCTGATTGTGGCAAAATGACAATACAAATAGTATTCTTCCTGTAATACCTATAAAAAGAAAGGTGAAAGACCAACACAAACTATTCTGATTAATTGAATCTTTCTAGAATAAACTTCTCGGTGTGTTAGATCCATTTCAAGCTTACATCATAGCTCGACTTCACGGCATCTTGGCTATTCAATGAAAACCATATATAAATGTGTTTCATCACCAAGGGGCTTTTTGGCAAAATTATGGCCATCGACTAGAATTACGACATGGCGCGACATTGAACGTCATCATTGCGATATTGAACGGCAAAATATTTAAGGGCAAGAGGTACATTTAGCGTCTTATAACGGTACTTTTTTCAGAAAATAATTAAATGGGGAATACTAAGGGAATCTGCATATCCCAGTTATGTACCTTGCCAATATTATGAATTTTGTATTGATACGTAAATGAGAGTACTATGAAGCCACTTGTACATTAAAACTTATTAGACATGTCTATCCAAACTGATTGCAGAAATAGCTAAGCCTTATTTTTCTTTTAAAAAAAATATACATTCGGTAAAATATAAGCTAAGATAACAGGTATGTTACTGGACAAGATACTATATCTTGAAGTGATAAGTGTTTAAGTTATGCAAGCATTGATACTCTCTGGAAGAATTCAAGATATATCCAACAGACCGGTTAAGGTAAGTTTAAGATTTCTTTATGGGTTGATTACAAGACTTTAAATTGTGCATTTATGAAAACTTCTTCTGCGCCCTGCTGTAATTGTTTTAGAATTTACCTTGACGAGTTGTCAGTTCATATTTAAAAACAACTTCGACATCTTTTTGCAAAGCAGAAAAAGCTTTTTGTCCTCTTAATATTTTTTTTCCGTTTATACCCTTGAATTACTTTTGATTTTTGAGGTATTTGGAGAAAATGGTTTAAATGGAGAAAATAATGGTGATTCTGGAAACAAAACATTTCTCATTTAAAAAATCTCTCGAATGCCTTACAGTTGACTAAAAGAATCAATATAATACTGTAACTTCGAAGCAATGGTCAATTTGGGTTGATAACGAAAAAGTGCTCATTAACAATGATTAATTCTATGTAGATACAATACTATGCCTAATAGATGAATTATTTTTAGTTAAACTCCTACGCGAAACTTTCAGTATACGTATTATATTGCAGTTACATTTGAATTAGTTCGGTTTTCTTGTAATTGAATAATTTTTATATGATTTCCTTTGAATCTATAATGTTTTAAATAAACATGATTTGCTCAAATGTTACGGTCTCAAGGTCATTTGCTTCGCTCTACAAAGTCAACGTCAAGTCAGAATCAAGTCAAAGTCAAAATATCTTTATTTTTCATATCAGTTCACAAAAAGTGATAACATGATACATACAAAACATTAACACAAAATTTAAAAACGCAAACAATTAATTTCTCACTTAAATGATAAAAGAATAACAACGTTATGATAGGGAATCATACTGTATAAATGAAAGCTATAGTTACATTATCTTCTTGACGTCCGCTTATGATTTATAAATAATAATTATTTTTATTAGCATTTTAAGTTGTGATTTAAAATTTGGTGACCGATTTCATATGATTCCTGTCAATGAAAACAAAAGTGCATCTTGATTGCGATCAAATATATCTTTATTTTTTTAATGAAGGACAGAATATTATATTTCAGTATTCTAGGCCAAAAATACAAAGTTTAAGAGAATAATTTGTCTTCTGTAAAATGAATAGCGTAATATTATATCAGTTGATAAATCATAAAATTTATATGAGTCGTCTTATTAAACAGAATATTCAATACAAGGTATTTTGTCTCATCTGGAGGCATTCTGATTTTCAACTTTTTGTATAGTTCGACAACGCGAACATTGTATTACAAAAATTAGAATACTGATGCAAGATACACCACTAGGCAACTAACTAGTACCATTGGCATATCATTCTTAAACGTGATTTAAAAATGAAAACAGATCTGTGCTAGATGGTTTCCTCATTTGCTGACAGATGACCAGAATAAAGGCATGCATGTTTAAAAAGTAACTAAACTACAATGAAAGGTCCTTTGCAAATGCCGTCACAGTTGACAAAACATGGGTTCATTTTTAAGAGCCAAAACAAAAACACCAAAACTAGATTTGGGCTACAAAGTCTAATAGACCATCATTGTAAAAACGACCATCATTATTAAGAAGGTTATGTATGCCATTTTCTTTGCAACTCAGGTTCCCGCCATTCAGGTTGCTGTTCCTCAAGAAGAATTATACAAGGAAAAAGTTCCTCGGAAACTGAACAAATACTTTCGGAAACGTAATCCTAAAACAGGTTTGGCCAATGTCAGATTGTTGCATGACAACGCGTCATCGCACAAGACGTATATAGTGAGAGACATTCTGAAACAGTAAAAAGTCGTTGTGCTCGCTTATCCTTCGTATTCACCTTATAACAAGTTTCTATATTATTTATTTATTTATTTATTTATTTATTTCAGATATAATTTTTGAACCGATGTCAAAGAACATTGATTTCCGTTCTTCTGTTTGATGTCCGAAACCAACACACATTTATATCCGATATACATGAACCACTAGCTATTGCTCTCAATCCAAATATGGGCAAAACTACAATTTTTATCCGATTTTTTTAAAACCGTAGCACTTGAACAGTGTATTGTGCTTTAATACGAATTTTAAAGCAAAATGCAAGATTCGTGCTTATGGTTACGTAGAATCTATTGGTCTCGTCCAACAAAATTCAGTATTGTACTCAGCAATGTAGAATAATCTCATAGTTACCGAGTTTAAGATACCCTAATAGCCAAAGGAAATGCAAGGAATGTTCTTTGCGAAACAAAGTTCTTTGAAATTAATGCCATAGCATTATTTTTTCTAGCAATCAGTTGTATGTAACTAACATGATTACATTAATTTGTTTCAAGACTAACATTGGTTATACCCATTTGTGCTAGCCTTGTAAAGTAAGTGATACCGTAGATACCGTATAATTATATAAAATTAAGTGAAAACTAACACCTTCACAGAAGATTAAATGACATATTCACATACTTTATCAAATGGTGCATATTTCTTTCTCATTCCATATGTATTCAAATATATCATTAAAGCTATTAAGAATATGAACTTACAGTAATTAGTCTTGAAAGACATGACTTCACTTTAACACTCGTGAAATAATGTTATAATAACCTGTCTTGCGTTTTTTGTTCCTCTTCATGTAGTCTTAAGGGAGTTAATTCTTTCGGAATATTATAAAGGTCTTTCAAATTTACTTCCCTTAATTTGACAGATTTCATCAGTCATTTTAAGAGATACTTTTGACAACTTAAATAGCGCGATATAATAGGCGGAGGCTCCAACTATCAAGTGGTAATGAAAGATCATTTAGCCTGTTGAAACTTTAAAAACGAAATTATAGTACTGCACATTGCTTTCTTCTACTTAAATAACAAAACGTTCAGAAATTTTCAGAAACTGCGTATATAAATGATAGAGAAGTCATTATTGTCCAACGAAACAGTACGTTAAAAACTGCAATATTATAATTATGTATTAAGGTTTCTGGTAGAGCGAATACTAACTTATTTCTATCCGTCTATCTTTCTATCTAACAAATGTGCATGATAATGCTAAATTATCATACATGTAAAAACAAATAAGGTTTCTGTCATTTTTAAGTTCTTTATTTATCACAGAATGGATCAATACTATCATTCAAATAACCGTTTACATGTAGGTACCATGCTCTGTTCCAATCAAGACATATGATCATCGCACATGCTGTTCACTAGCGTCAATTTTCCTAACTTTTCCTTTACCTCTATGTAAAAATCTTTCTTTGCCTGCAATATTATAAGCAATACACTAAAAATTCAAGAATACATATTTTAAGATTTATCCGTAACATTCAGCTTCAACAGTCAATAATATAGAAGAACTGGCAGTGAAATGTTTTATTTTATATCAAAATATCTAATGAACTGTAGACAATGTGTGATGTTTTTTTTTTTTTTTTTTTTTTTTTTTTTTGCATAACGATATGGTTCCGTAATATGGTTAAAATCAACCACTATGATTAATATAATCATATGTATTGAAATGATTTTAGAAAATACTTAGAAATACTTTAGAAACACTGATCACAGAAAGTATCATTCAAGATTTCTGAAGTTGCTTTCTCAATCAATCCATCTATCTATTTTATTTGCTTCGGTCGTGTATATGAAACGATTACAAAAATAATCCTGTATACACAATGTAGTAGTTAAACCTGAAATATTAATGTTCCGGAAATATGTATTTTTTTATTCTTGCCATTAACAATAAGGAATATTTTTTTAATTTTTGCATCATAATTAATCACATGTAACTGAAACAAAAATCTGGACTTTACTAGAGGGGTAGTGCATCAAGAATGTATTTAATGCCCCAACAGAGTGATGGGTTAAAAAGTCCGAGAGATTCTGTAGATGTTAATGCATAAAAAGCTGCATTCGCGCTGTTCTTGCATTAACGTATACATGTATACGCTTAAATCGGTAACTCCACGTTTCATTATCTGTATTTCATATATAGATACTATTGCCCGTGCAATGCTTTCTGTTATGATTTGTCACGAGAATCTGCCTGTTAATGCATGTTTTGTTCTCTGTTAATGTATAGTCGTGTTCGCAGATTTTTTTTTTTTTTTTTTTTTTTTTGCAATGAAGTTAGAAAAAGTAAAAAGAATTATGCACTAAAGCCGTTATTCTACATAAAATAGACGATTATTGAATAAATGCTATTTCTTATTTATAAATCAGTAAGAATGAAAAGTAAGATTAAATATTTGTACTTACTATAAAATAGTTCATTACAAAGACGAGTTGTTTTTGTGATAAAGTTTTCCTGGTTGTTTTCAATATGTTTTTCAATTCTGTATACATGTTGAAAAACGTCTGTAAACTTTTATTGACATTTTCCTGGAACGAAAATAATAAGTCCTTAGCTGTACATAAAATTTTAGTGATAAAACCATTATAAAGGATGTAATAGAAAACGCTTAACATTAGTATAAATAATAATTGTAAGAGAAAGTTTCGCTGAAATGATCGTATGTAAAAACTACACTTTACAACATTTGTAATAATAAACAGTGCACTATGATGATAAAAAACATGTAAGATTTCTTTCAAGAAACCTTGTCTCCAAATAGTAATAGATATTTTTGCCAACTTTCCTATCTCTATGACTCGATCGATATGTTGTCCAAGTGACATTAGTAGGGTTGTGACACATGTTCCACTTTCTTTGTATTTTACTAAAAAACTCTGCAATTTTATCTACAATAGTGTGTTACTATTACCCATGACAGATTTGATGGCTATTTGAAAATTCTAACCCACCCCTTTGTCGCATTTTTAAGATTTTCATTCTGCCAACACAAAAACGCTAAGCCAAGCTCGGATCACAGCTAAAACATTGCAAAAATTAGGTGTTGTGTTTCTGCCTTCCTTTCTTTTTGTTGTCGTGTTTTCCTTGGCGCGACAAAAAGATCAAAGACGCGATATTACACCATTCTCTCATGACCCTCGCTGGTCCTCTTTTCACTTATCACAAACAAAAAGTAACTGTATATAGTAAGTCAGCTAACATTAATACGAAAGTTAATTTATTTAACGAACCTTTATATTGTCGATTTCTGACTGTTTTATTTGTAATACTGTCATATTGGATTCAAACTCCACTACACCGTCAATACTGTCATCTCCAAAAACGTCTTCATTGTCTTCAACTGGCTCGTTAATGATTGACTGAAGCTGTAAAGGTATAAAGAAACATAACATAAAAACAACATCAACAACAGCAGCTATTTAGTGGTTTCACAATTTTTTTTACCAAATATATGTATGTTTATGACTCATAATTAATTATATAGATACAGAGTTATCTTATTCATCAATAGAAAGTTCCCGATGCGTGGTAGATTATATTATTACCCCTCACTTTTTTCGTAATGCTAATTTCCCATAGGCCTCTGGGAGTTATTTTTACTGTTAATGCAAGTGTACCACATGACTAAAAATTTTGTACTGTTACATAGGTAACAGTATTTTTTAAGAGGTCACGTGGTCTATTTCCTTAATAAAATGAAATAAAATGGCCGCCATTTTTTCTCTCGATTCATTCTTATTTTCAACGTTAAACCCCGATAGGACATCAATTTCTCCTCTGGAGTCCCTATGACACTCATAAAATTTAGTTGTTTGCACCCTGGTGTGCTTTTCGCGTATAAAATATCTTTTTGCTGAATAGTCAAAAAATGAACATCCGTTTTCAACTGAAGTAATTGCAATGTAAATAATTATGTGTCAAACTGGAGCATGCAGAAGATCTAAGCATGCAACAAAGGATTATTTAACAAATTTTATCAGTGACACGTTACAGACAAATGACAGATATGGTGGACATAGGATATCATCGTTATTTTGTCAAAAACCATGCTAAGAATATTCTGGAAACAGAAGGATCAGATTTCACAGATCATAACCGTGTAAATGGGTTAGTGTTTTGTTTCCTAAATAAAACCTAGCTTATTGTATGTTTATGATTTGTAGATATCATCACTTGCTTAAAGAATAAAAGAAAAGAGAAGTTAGGCCTACTGAGTACAGTACAGTAAAGTACACTTAAAACTTAAAAGGTAAGGACAGTTTAGTTATTGTTACTCTTGGTTTATTTTTGTTACAGTTAGATTTAGTTGACAATTTCAGATCATCTCAGTATTTTTGTTCGGGGTAATAAAATAAATAACACATGGGTTTGTGAGTAACAGTAAAAATATCATCCCTCGTAAAAATACTGTTACCCTCGGCTACGCCTCGGGTAACAGTATTTTCCTCGGGATGATATTTTTACTGTTACCCACAAACCCATGTGTTATTTATATATTAATGTAGTCATTTAATGCTTAATTTTCAGGATAAACTCTTTTGATTTCTGTTTTGACTTTGCAAAACAAATTCTACGATACTTTAGATAAAAGCCTTTTTTCAATCAAATTCTAAAACTGGAATATTAAGCATATTGTTACACTGCTAACTATCAAATTTCAATGGTTTTATGTATTAGCATACACAAAAATATCTTCAGTAACCTTTTCTATTTCTTCTTTGATGTCGTTAATAAGTTGCCGGAAACGGTCATCCATTCGGATCATCTCGGACTGAAGATCTGGCGGTTTGGGCTTCTGTAAATACCATTTGTTGTCTGCTATCTGTCGGCGGACTATTTCTTTTTTACAGTCATCACAGCAGCGGAGTAATACTGATACCTTAGGCTCCTTTTCTGGACACTTCAAACAGAAATAAAATGTCGTTACTTTTTATTTATTCGTCACTTACACTGAAATGTATATTTTGAAAGAGATATATTTACTGCATATATCGATATAAGCTGTATTAGATGAATTTATTTCAGAAAATGAGAGAAAGCATTGTCAGATAAACTTAGCTATCTCCAGTCATTACATCACATGGTTAAGCAATGCGTATGAAATAAAAACTAAGATATTTTATGTTGATGTTTGGTGTTTTCTGCAATTTATAATATCAAAGAAAAGAAAAATTGTTTGAATGAAATAAATTTGAGTTTTCAAAAAGTGTACTTTTCAGCGAATTACTGGAACTCTTTACATCGGCAGAAGATTATTTACATAGGGGTCATTCGACCAAATTGAAAGCAGTTAAAGCTCGCCAAGACAACACTTTCGACCATCAACAATGTATTCTCTATAAAACAATGTTCTGTTTGTCTTCAAGTGGAAAACAATTCTCTAAAATTCACATACCCCTTCGTATCTGATAATAGCAAGATGGGGGATATTGTCCGTTTGCCCATCTTCAAAGTAAAGTAATAAATCTTTCTGTGAACATATCCTACATAATGTAAGTCCACACACCCTGCAATTCCTCATCTTCTTTATTCGACCAAGCTTACTGTCACATTGCCGACATCTCGTGGTTTGACTTTCAAGCTGGAAATATATTTATCCAGACAACGATTAACAAATGAATGCATGTATATATTATTATCATCTCATGAACAACTAACATCATAAATTCATAATGAAATATTATCATGAACGGGGATAAACCTAAATAATTACTAAATTGTCATCATCATAAACAACATTCATCATAATATTATCGTGAATACCAAAAATTATTATAGCTACATACCACCATGAACAACAGTTATTGTATTTAGTTATCTTTAAAATAATTTCATAATGAAATTTTTCCTTGTAACAAACATTATCACAGTAAATTATAAATATGAACAACAATTTAGAAAATGAATGTTAATAAAGAGTAACATTAATTACAGTGAACAACAATTATCATAATGAATCATGATCCGCAATGAGAATAAGCATATAAAAACAATATGATAATTTATAATATCTACACTTCTGCATTGTTAATATTGACACTTGTAAAAGGTATGTATCAAAGTCATAAGTCAATTCAATTTTTTAAAAAAAATGATAATTTACCGCCCAAAACATAGATTTTTGCCATGTCGGTACATTCATTTTTCCTTTGATCTCTTTTACTGTATTCAATGTATCATAACCGCTCATCGTTGTCTTAAAGCCTCTGAGAAGTCTCAGGCACTCTTGCGTAGTGTCTATTTTGAATCTGAAAATTATATAAAATATATTATTAAAACATAATTTAAAAAAAACCGTCATGTTAAGCACGATTAATATTGATAACAAGATACAGGGTATTAAGTTATTCCATTTTGCGTTTCCCTTCTGTGTTGTTTATCTTATTTCACATTTATTTCAATTTAAAAGATGTGTAAATGATAAATCATGGAATGTCAAATGCCTTTGTAAAATAGCATACACTCGTTGTGAGAGGGGAAAACCAGACTACTTAAGATAGATTAATCTAGTGTCAAAATGGTTTGTATCATAACCTTTGCTTTTTTATGAATTTTGGAAAAGTGTTATCAATACAAATCCGGGTTATTATCGCGGTGTTTGCTTCAAACAAAAAAAAACATATAAAAGAAAAAGAGGGATATAATGGATTTAATCGCTCACCTGAAAATAAATGTCTGCTCTTGATAATTATAGTTTGTTTAATATAGAGATTGTGACGTCACTATCATATTGTTATTACAAACAATGATATTTTACGGGGATTAGGTTTGTTATTGAATTTTTGATAGAAATATAGCGGAGTGCAGCGTTACATGATGGAAGAACAATCTAGTTTGAGCCAAAATATTTTAACTTAAATTACCTTAAACCCAAATGAAGGTTCCAAGAAGTCAGCTTCATACTAAACAACTAAGATCTGGTTGGTCAAGATGATCTAAAGGTTAAGGTCAAACTTTTAAACTCAAGATAAAAGATTTTGTCCAAGTATGAACCTAATCCATCAATTAAAACAAGACTATAACAAGTTTGATATGTTTATTTTTTAATTAACCTTGACAGACAATGTTTTTCAGGGTTCAATGTAACATTTTCACTTCATTGAATATGGCGCTGTCGTTGTGTCAGTATATTAATTTTATTAAACTTATATAGAATTTTAATAAATTTCATATTTGACCTTGAAATTCATAGTAATTTAGAGATGAAGACCGTACTTGAATCGTTCACATAAAAGTTTATTTTTCAAAGTGTGATTCAAATCTTTCTGTTAATAACAAAGTTATCGCACATACATGTATAAAATTTAATCAATTGGCCTTGCAAGTCAAGGTCGTGTAAAGGTCATTGTCATACATGAATTGCCCCAGATGAAGGTTTTGCCTACATGTTGTTTTGTCAAAGTATAAATCTGATAAATTCAATAAAAAATTAGCAATATTTAAAAGAAAAATATTATTTATGAGACCATAATTCTTGAAAAAGTCACTACTGTGAGTTATCTGCCTCTTTATAAATGGATCCCTGTTAGTAATTAAAGTTCTTTGCATGAATTAAAAATAAAATTTCTTCAAGAAAGTATCATAAATGGAATTGCTATTGTCCAGACACCAATTATAAACGCCATAAAACACGACGGGAGGAGGACGGTCACGTAAACTCACATTTATCACGTGTTAAGGTGAATTAGGTGAGCTAAAAACAGACACGACAAAAACGAATGCGTTCAAAACAAAACAAAAATATAATATATCTACTTGCATTAGCGCAACAAAATCATATTTGAAACTGGATTTCGCTGCTAAAAATTACACAAAAAACATAGCAAAACGATTAAACGTTTGTGAATCTTAGAAAATAACTAAGCGTTTTTAATGGTATGGATTGCCTAACATATTCACGAAGAAATTAAGCGAAGTCCATTCAAATCAACCAAACCTGAACAGTTTACTTACTGATCTTTCCAGAATCTTGGTTGCTCGGATGCGTTCCTTGTTGTTATTTCATATTCATACACAATATCTGTCATCTCATCTTTACATTGTTTTCTTAACAGACGAAATAGGTCTGTCTGTGACCGTTGAGTGCAGCCAAGATACAAAACTCGATCTTCAAAACAAGTCAGACATACCTGTGAATAGATAATGACAAAAACATATTGTAAAAGGCGTGCTTTAATTGTTATGAGAGAAGTATAGAATTTTACATAATTTCTTGAGTAAAAAATTTTTTGGTTCATTTTAAAAACAGGTCGATTTTTTGCTATTACGGTTAGGGACACAAAAACCGAATTTTTAATTAGTCTTTGTCCCATCAAATTCGTGACTTGAAAGAAAGGGTTCAGTTGTAGATCTAGGGCTTATTACCGAAATACTTTTTTAAACACTTCCCCTGTTGAGACAAATGACAAACATTTTTTGAAAATTTTTTTTTTCTTCCTTCCCTATTAATGAAAATTTTGCTTAACTTTGGTAGGGGTGTCTTATCTTTAAACTTTACAAAACAAACTTATTGACAAATTGTTTGAAACCACAGAACAATTTTAAAATTATGGTTGGGATAATTGTTGTTGCGTGTTTGACTGACATTTAACAACACAACGCTAAAATTTATTTAGCACATAATTACGGGAATATTACCTTACAGGGAACACCATCAGGGTCAGGTTGAGCCATGGCATTCAAGCGTCTAGTATATTGTAAACATGGTCGACAAAATATTTCACCACACCTGTAAAAAAGGTATAAGTGTTCATATAACCAGTTGTACCGCACATACACACCGCCATAAAGTAGTATGTAAAACTTTACAATCCATTGTGACTAACTCACATAATGTTAAACGTAGTACGTATATCTACATGATATTGTATTTGATATCATTATGAAATATGATTATATTATGATATTGTATTTCATATTAATATTATTATGAAACATGAATATATTACAAATATATATGCCTGACTTGTATTTATTGAGTGATGTTTTTGTCTGTGTGTTTTTGTTTTGTGTGTGAGCGTGCGCGTGCGTGCGTGCGTGTTTTGTTGTTGTTGTTTTACGTTTAAATATTCAGGCATATTTTCCAATATTGGACTGAAAAACAGATCTTTTGCTTCTTCTTCTGTCTGAGAAAGGTAAATTATTTTGTTTATATAGTGACATTAATGGGTAATATAATATGTATAAACCATCTTACCGTGGAAATAAGTTGGAAAAAAAATATAGCATTTTACGGAGACTGTTTATACGGTTTGTGATTTATATATAGTAAATATGAATATATCATTTGAAATAGATATGTTAACATACTATGTGACATCAAAACAGCAATTTAACCTTCAACATTATACATATCTCATAGCATAAGTGTTATATTGATAACAAAATTACATCTATCTAAGCCAGAAACACTAAGACTTTAGTCTCAAAAAGTATCTATAAATAACCAGTCAACCGGTACTGTACCGTTGGCCTAGTGGTTAAGGCGTCCGCCTACGGATAGGGAGGTCGACGGTTAGAGCTCCACGGGGAGCCATTATTGAAGGATGAATGTTTCTCGTTGGCCTCGTTGCGAATGGCCACTTCGTAAGCCGCGAGGTAGTTAAAATGAATGGTTACCGGTTTCTATCCGCCTGGCGCCTGGCATAGTGGTAGGAATTGGGAGGTACATGGTATGCGAGCAAAAGGTGTCTCATAAGTCAGAAATGGCTGGCCCTTTCAGTAGGGGTGACACTATAATAAACAAGACCTTTACAGTCAACACTTTAGAGTCTGGAAAAAATGCAAAATTGTGCATGCTTGACTCACTCTATACTGTTGTTTATAACCGGCTTCATAAGGTCTTATGAGCACGTGTATGTATAGTTTTACATAAACAGTTACCTTCTACAATGATGGGGTCTTCTTAAATGATGAGGTCGGGAAAATAATTGCCCACATTCTCTGTTTTGACATTTGTCACGTGCAGTCTTTGGTACGTAGTGGCTAGTTGTGGCACCTATAATCATATATAAAAATATTTGTAAGATAAATGTATACTTTGGATCACAGTGGCGGTTTGTGACACTTTTTATAAAATGATAATTTGTAAGATAATTGTATAATTAGGAACACATTGGTAGGATGTGACACCTGTAATTACATATAAAATTATAAATATACTTTATAATACTTATTTCAATATTTTGAACACAGTGGTAGGTAGTGACACCTGTAATTACATATAAAATGATAATTTTGTAACATATAATGTATGTCTTATTAGATGTAAATAAACTGATAACATTTTAATTCACAATTGCAGCAGAAATGATTCCATCCAAATGTTAAAATAATACAATGCAATGCTGATGTAGCAGCAATTGAACAGAAAGCCAGTTTTATTTCAGACTTATTTTATTATATATAAACAAACCTTTTTGGTGAGGATAAAGTAGAGTATTTATCCATCTTCGGTGATGGTTAAAAGGCCATATGAGTCCGTAACTCTTACTTAAACGGACAAAGAGGCTGGACGTTCGTGCATCGAATAGCCAAAAATTCTAACCTTTATTGAAATAAATCAAGGTTATAAATCTCCAACAAAACATTTATGTATCTAACAAAGTAATCTTCTTCCAGAAGTTACAGGTATGAGAACATTTCTTATTTGTTCTAAGACAGATATATTTGTCAAAGATAGACTATATTATCAGAATCAACAGCTTAACCCTTAAATTGCTGATTTTCTTAAATTTGTGATTTTCTTAAAAGGATTTGTCCTTCTGCTTTTAACTTAGTCAATTTAAAGTTTTAGGGATTAGATATCATAATAATAATTTGACTGCTGCTTACAATCAAGAACCTTGTCAAAGTACGTGGAGGTGCCGGCCGGCCGGAATCGAAACTGGCACTTTTTGTTCCAGCAGGTGAAGGTCAATTACAATTAAAGGAATTAGTAATATTGTGTTACCTTCTCCTTTGAACGCTTCTTCGTCCGTCTGTTCGTCAACCAGGTCCGGTTCCGTCTTTTTTGCCATTTTCTGTGTAAATGTCCATGATATAAAATGAAAGAAGAAAGTTAATGGATTAAGACAGGCACTTGATAACAATTTTGATGCATACATTTTTGTAAATAAATTCTATATCCTTAACTATGTGAAAGAACGAAGTTTGTGTTTCGACTAATAAATATGAAATATGAATATTCGAAATGTGCGTGTTTCTAGACAATTAGTGATGTGAAATAGTCGATAAATGAAGGTGAAACATTTAATTAAAACAATTCACACATTTCTATTAGCAGATACATGTATAAACAGTGTATACATGTACATAGGTGAAGCGAGTGATTCATTAGCTGAATTGTCTTCTCGAGAATTCATTTCTTTCTTTAAAACAAATTAAAGAGATCGTATACAAATAAAACTGTTATTTTTTCTTTTACATTATCAGGTAGATATTTAATACTTAAAAAATATCTATAGCCATTAGACATGCAAGTACTGTATTGTATTGTGTGTAAACTTAACAATTCAATATATCTAAATGATATTTAAGGTCTACAGTATGTCAGAAGTAATGAAGCGTATTTTGTGATTTTTTCTTTCATTCTTTTCTTTCCGTTTTTTCCCTTCTTTTCTACGTTTAAGTAATAACGGTATCCCCCTCATGCATGTACATGATAACCTTAAGAAGCAAACATTAAGGTATCATTTTTTACGTTCTTCTATTTATTTTTATTTTATTCATTTATTCATTTTTTTTTTATTTTTTTTTTATGTTAATCTTTTTATCAATACCAACTTCCTTCAACATACATGTATATTGATAACTAATTAACTCTCTAGTATTCTTATGAAAATTAATCATTCTACAATCATTATCCCTGGGTTGAAAGACATACGTCCTTATAAATAGGCTACAGTGGATTATTTATACAACAATTACATAGAATTTAATGTATGTTGAACAGAACATTTTGTGCGTATACTTTTTGTCATGTACCATGATAATGCATATTAAATATGCTATACAAATGTAATACTATGTGGTGTAATGAATATGTACTAAATGTTTACGTCAATACATTATCTATCTATAAGATATTAGGAGACAGCAATGTCTTTTGTCTGATAATGAATTAATTCTTTAATTTTTGTGCAGGAACTGATTTCTAAATGCATATGGTCAGAAACTAAGTGATCATAAATTTATTAAAAACTTGAAGGTGATTTTGAGAAATGGAAAACTTGATGATTGAATAACTTATTTTTTCTCCATGTAAACTTGAGGTTCATTTTTCATAAATCTGTAAGTTTATTTCTGACTATATCCATTCTTACTATCAAAGAACATTGTCTATTATACATATTATATTTATGTACCTCATGAATGAATAGAGCTTGAAATAAATATTTTTATTGTTTTGATTTTTTAAAAATATATTTTTTATATTATAAAGAGTGTAAACGAGTGCAATCTCGCGCAAACACTTGAGTTTTTAATCTTGTTCGGACAACTAACCTCCTATAAAATAGCAGTATAAAACAAAACCGACGTCCTGTAGCTACAGTGAAATTATTGAATATCATATGTATCATATATAAAGATAGAAGAGATATAATATATAGTCGCCTGTAACAGAAATGTATGGTACGGTCAGTTCACAGTAAAGATATAGCGTTCGTTTTAATTCGTGATTCTGCATTTACACTCTGTATGGATAAAATAATATAAGGCTATGAATATAATTAACACTAAAAAGTGTGCTGAATACTGACACAAGGTATACTACATTTTAACGCCTATACACCACATGTATACCTGTAAATTAGACTGTAACTTTATGTAACATGTTTTAAGTTTAAGCATGTTCATTTTGCTTAATTTAGTGTCTCTAACTTGTAAGTATATATACTTGCAATTTATAAATGAAAATTTACAAAATACAAAAAGGGCTCAGAACTGACACCTAATTAATTTAGTGTTTACAACTTTAAACAAGTATATAGTTTTACAATCTATAAATGAAAATTTACAAAAATACAAAAAAGGGTAAAAAATCTAATATTTCTAGATACAATATTCTGCTGCATTCAACATATATTAGAAACTAACAGGTACCTTAATATGGTCGGAACCCGGGAATGAACTAGAATCAACATCACTTGTTTATGTGGCAGATACCACTATGCTACCATCACGTATACTAATGTTCGTTCTTAAAAGATGCAAATGACCACGATGTTAAGACACAAATATCATTAATATTTGCAAATAACTGATTCAAGTTTATTGCCGAAAAAAACCCACAATAATCTAGTTTATTCCATTTAATTTTTTTTAAAACAATTATCTGTTTTTTATAAAAATTAAAAATTTTTATAAAAATTAAAAAATTAAAACTTTCCCCTTCCATTTTTAAAAAAAAAAAAAGGACAGAATTCCCCAAAGGGGAAATATTCTTTCCGTTTTAGGTATTAATTTTAAAATTCCCTTTTTTTTAAATATACCAGGTATTTATTACGAAATAAAACATTAAAACACTAATGACGTTAAAAAAAAAAATTCCCCCTTTCCAAAAACAATTAAAATGTAATAATAAAAAATCCCTTAAAATTTTAAAACCATCTTTAAAATTGTTTAAAATTATTTAAAGAATTGGAAGGACCTTTATTTTTAAATTATACAGTGTTTCAGGGGTTAGAACGTTTTTTCTTCCTCCCCGTTCGGATCTACCCAAAAGCATTTTATATTTTATTCTTACCGTAAAATATTAAGGATCCCAGAAACGTCGGGGATAAAAAATTTTTTTAATGCTTTTAATTTATTTAATTAAAAATTAAAAGTTTTTTTTTCCGTTTTTTACCCCTTTTTTCCTTTATCAAATGAAAATTTTTGAAAAAAGCCTTTCCCTTAAAAATTCACAAGGAGCGAATTTTTTAAATTTTTAAAATGTAGTTTATAATGGTTTTTTTATCGCGAACAAAGATTTTTTTTTTTTTTTTTTTCCCCCAATATATGTGTTCTTTAAAAAAAGCCATTTTATTAAATTTAATTATATAAATTTTTAAAAATTCAAATCCAAAAATTTTTTGGCGAAAAAGGGGGGGTTTTTTAAACAGAAGGTTTTCTCACTTTTTTTTATGGATGGGGGGGCGGAAAAATTCACAGCAAATAAAAAAAAAATGTTAAGGCCTTTTTTTAAATTTTTTAAATAAATTTTTTGGTTATTGATGCCTTAACGTTTTATCATCTTATTTTTTTGTCATGGGAAGAAATAAATGTGTTCAGTATACTTCGTTTACAGAGGGTAGTCCCCCTTACTGATTATTTGTGATAACCAAATACAAGCAGCCGTTTTTAAAGCATAACAATAGTACCACCCTTGCAATCTGTTGAATTTACAACAAAAGTTCATCCAGGACGATTATAAACTAAACCGTTAAAAGTAGAGGTATAATCTTGATTAACTATATAATACACATTTCTACATGGTACACTATTATACTATTTACACTACACATTGGGATAATTATTTTATGTGCACGTTTCACAGAATATATTATCAGTAAAATAATTTCTTTCTACAGTAAAAAGTGTATTACAAATTAACAATAGCATTAAGTTGTGTGTACTTAAGTTTATAGAAGGAGAAGAATCATTTATTTGCAAATCAACTTTCAAAACAGTCATTTATAAGCTTTTCTTTTATGGGTTATCATTCATTTACTATTCAATTTAGGAGTTCTAAGAAAGAAAAAAACAATGGATGGTTAATCTTTTAATGTATTGTCATTATTCTCTGTACATAAATGACTTGCCAAGCACATCTGCTGTCTTTTACAAATATTCACTGTTTATTTACTATAACTTATGTTTGTATCATGTATGATGCACTGAGAGAAATAAAATGATCACATATATATTACTAACAATAATTAATGTATTATTAATACTTTGCAAAGTCATATATATAATCATTAAGACGTGCCTTAAATAAGAACTCTAATTCTAGAAGATTATAGTGCTAAGCCAAAAAATGTAAATAGAATCTATATTTAGCTATTACAGTTTGTGTCAAATGACATCCTGAAATTGAAAGTATTACATCAATAAAAACACACATATATGGGGCATTTAAAAAAGAACATTAACACTCGTAATACTACGGAAGAGCATTAGTGCCAGGTGTATGTTTTTTAATAACTCGAAATTTCGAGTTACTAACTCGAAATTTCGAGTTACTAACTCGAAATTTCGACTTACTTATCTCGAAATTTCGACTTACTAACTCGAAATTTCGACTTACTAACTCGAAATTTCGAGTTATTTATCTCGAAATTTCGACTTACTAACTCGAAATTTCGACTTACTAACTCGAAATTTCGAGTTACTTATTTCGAAATTTCGACTTACTAACTCGAAATTTCGACTTACTAACTCGAAATTTCGAGTTACTAACTCGAAATTTCGAGTTACTTATCTCGAAATTTCGAGTTACTAACTCGAAATTTCGACATACTAACTCGAAATTTCGACATACTAACCCGGCCAAAGTTATTAGTTAGATGGTATAAGATATAGTAGGGAGTGACGTTGAACGATGGAGATGGAGAAACGGGTGCCTGGACAAAAACTATTGAAATTTAACTTAAACTTAGTAATGGCATGTACACACCCGACCTAAAAAATACAAGGCTTCCTTTAATTTGTACGTTCAGGCGTTCTTAAGACGTTGTATTGTATCCCAATCTGTTCAAACATATCTTTTCACTAAATCATATTCTTCTCATCCCTGTAAAAAAAAAACGATCCTATACTTCACGTGTGGGACATCTGTACGGAATGCCGTTAGGGCCATCGCCTATGAATGTGTGTGATCTGAAACGCGATAGTCGATAGTACGATGGTGAAAACGCGAAATTACGAAACTACGATGGTGAAAACGCCGAAAGCACGATGATGAAAAACGCGAATGGTACGACATGATGAAAACGCGAAAATCACGAAACTACGATGGTGAAAACGCGACAGTACGATGGTGAAAACACGATAGTTTATCGCGTTTTCATCATCGTAGTATCGTACTGTCGCGTTTTCATCATCGTACTTTTTCGCGTTTTCATCATCGTGCTTTCGCGTTTTCACCATCGTAGTTTCGTGATTTCGCGTTTTCACCATCGTACTATCGACTATCGCGTTTCAGATCAAACACATTCATAGGCAATGGCCCTAACGGCATTCCGTACATCTGAGGAAAGTATCGCGGCGTCGGCCAAAATAGGGCGTGCTGAGGCCTTTACTGACTATATTTCTTTGTAAAATCGGATGCTTTTATATTGTTCCCAACATATATATATTATAACAAGTATTCACTTTTATCAACTTTTTATCAACACAATATGAATCAAAGTACATGTATTAGTAAATAATGAATAATGTTACAAAAACCATTATTTGTATAAAGAAAGCGTGACAGACTTACTGGCGTAATACACGTCATTTAAAACTTATTTAACACATGATATTGCACAGTTTACAATAGGGTGGGTTTTGGGACTTGTTGTTTTCTCCATACGATGGTTGTATTGTGCTGCTTAAGAAAAAAAAACACCCGGTTAACACGGAAAATGTGGAAAGTGTGATTTTACATCCCCCCCCCCCTCCACAAAAAAAGCGAAGGATATGTTCAGTATGTGTGGACATTTGACCCTATATAAAATTGTTCTGTTAAAAATAAATGTTAAAAGGTGCTCTGTTCAATGTGCAACAGCTACACACGGAAGAAAGTATCTTGAATTCAATCCTTGCTTTCACCGGCAACCAATGAAAGTCGTGCAATGTAAGTCGAAATTTCGAGTTACTAAGTCGAAATTTCGAGTTACTAAGTCGAAATTTCGAGTTAGTATGTCGAAATTTCGAGTTACTAAGTCGAAATTTCGAGTTACTAAGTCGAAATTTCGAGTTAGTAAGTCGAAATTTCGAGTTAGTAACTCGATATTTCGAGATAAGTAACTCGAAATTTCGAGTTAGTAAGTCGAAATTTCAAGTTAGTAAGTCGAAATTTCGAGATAAGTAACTCGAAATTTCGAGTTAGTAACTCGAAATTTCGAGTTAGTAAGTCGAAATTTCGAGATAAGTAAGTCGAAATTTCGAGTTAGTAACTCGAAATTTCGAGTTAGTAACTCGAAATTTCGAGTTAATAAAAAACATACACCTGGCACTAATGCTCTTCCGTATAATACTACAATTTTAACCTTTTTCCTAAACATGACATCTGTTTACTGCTTCTGCAAAATAAATGCAAAGTACACTTTCTTGAGAAAATATGTTGTTTCTAAGAAATGCAACTCAGGAATGCATTATTATTACGTCATCCGGCGTATGGGAATTATATTTTGCTTCAAGAAATCTACACGTGCTCCGGCTCACGTGAAATTCGTTCATATCACATTAAATCAAAACAAAATTGATTGTGAACGAAATTTTATTTTTGAACAAAAATAAAGATAATTAAACAATCACGAATGTTTATAAGAAAAATGTCTAATATTTGCAGCATGTTTTTAATTTAGAAGTGATGCACACTGGATTTGGATACTTATTTACATTTTCGCTTTAAAAAAATTTTTTTATTATTATAAAATGCACATGTCACTGTAATAAAACAAGGGCATGCATTTTACAAACAAATATAAGTATTGGCTATATATTTGTAAATGAACGATAATACATGCGACAGCATATCTTTGAAATAATGACAAGGGGTGGCGAATTGTGCCGAATTTATGTCGAATGTATTTTCCTTCAAACCTGGTAATCAAAACTAATTTCTCAAACATATTTTTTTTCACTTTGAAAGGTTATTTACAGCATAATGTTTAAAATATCATTTTTGATAGGGAAGTTACGATACATGCTATGAAAAATAAATGTTGCGAACGAACGTATCCAACGAAAGCATATAAGATAATGATTATGTTTAAAGTGGCCTTCAGCTTTTATTTTCTGTTGGGAAAAAATTAAACAATTCTGAGTTGTTTCAAACTAAGTATTCCAGTAATTTTATCTTGTAAAAGTGCATCTTATACATCACTATCACGCGGTAGAAGTCGATCGGGAAACTATTGTGGCTGATTTGTGCAATTCGCGCCCCTCCATTTTAATTGTTAATTCTCGACTTTTCGATTGGCGGGGTCGCGGGGCGAAAACGCAAAATGGCACAAATCAGCCACCATAGAAAACAGATCGGCCCCTTAACTTATTTTAATATCATCAATTTTAACTTTATTTGACAATCATATGAAACGATTTATTTAAGGGCACAATATTAATTTATCCTTTAGAAAAGCTGAATGCCGCTTATAACGTATCTAATTAAAACGATTCTGTCCGAAAAAAGGACGATTTATTCCGTGTTTTTAAGTGGATTACTTATTTATATATGCAAATCGTATTTGATAATATTACAGATATAATTTTGCATTTTATGGGAATACTCGTACTGTTTTCAAAGAACACACGATAAAATAAAATTTTGTTTCCACGAAATACAAAAACTGAGGTTTCTTTTAACAAATTCAAATACACATTATTAATATAAGAGCGACTTTTCTATTGCAGCTGTTAATTTGAATTCAAAGTAATATTCGTTACCTGAAATATTTTGATCTCTAGCTTAAAATCCAGATTTAAGCAAATATTTCAATCTCAACCAAATTAATATCATAGAAATTTTCACAAGCAAACGCGCCATAATAGTATTAATTAAATCTGAGGGTTTCTTCACAGTGCATACGCTATCTTTTCACATCTCATATTCAAGTAACAGCGTACAATATAAAAGAGGAATGTCCAATCATTCCTGTTTATTATGGCTCTTTTGGTCATTTCAGTGGATAAACTGGTACATAAAAATCAAGGCAAATTTATATAAATGGACATTTCTTTATTAAAATCATTGAAATATCCAAAGCAATTTTATTAACAGAACAAATATTTACATACACAATTCACATTTCTAATTTAACTTCTATATCTAAAACTTCTTGGCAACAATTATTCTCCTACTACATAATGTTCGGGCACCGAACATTTTGTGAAATGAAAAATAAATGAATTACTGTCATTGACCAGATTAAAGCATCAAAAAATTTATTAAACTAAAAATGTTAGGGCACCGAACAATTTCCAAATTAAAACAAAGATAAACTGACAATCGACCGAAGCATTAAATACAAGTTTTCATTCAAAATGTTCGGGCACCGAACAATTTACAAATTAAAAAAAGATTTACTGACGATGGACTCAAGTTTTTAATCAATGTTTTAACCAAAAAATGTTAGGGCACCGAACAATTTCCAAAATTAAAACAAAGATTTACTGACAATAGACCAAAGCATTAATTACAAGTTTTCATTCAAAATGTTCGGGCACCGAACATTTTTCAAATTAAATAAAAAAGATTTTCTGGCGTTGGACTTAAGTGTTTAATCTATGTTTTAACTAAAAATGTTAGGGCACCGAACAATTTCCAAATAAAAACAAAGATAAACGGACAATAGACCAAAGCATTAAATACAAGTTTTCATTCAAAATGTTCGGGCACCGAACATTTTTCAAATTAAAAACAAAAAGATTTAAAGGCAATGGACTGAAGTGCTTAATCTATATTTTGACTAAAAATGTTAGGGCACCGAACAATTTCCAAATTTAAACAAAGATTAACTGACAATAGACCAAAGCATTAAATACAAGTTTTCATTTAAAATGTTCGGGCACCGAACATTTTTCAAATTAAAAAAAAAAAGATTTACTGGCGATGGACTTAAGTGTTTAATCTATGTTTTAACTAAAAATGTTAGGGCACCGAACAATTTCCAAGTTAAAATAAAGATTAACTGACAATAGACCAAAGCATTAAATACAAGTTTTCATTCAAAATGTTCGGGCACCGAACATTTTTCAAATTAAAAAAAAAAGATTTACTGGCGATGGACTTAAGTGTTTAATCTATGTTTTAACTAAAAATGTTAGGGCACCGAACAATTTCCAAATTAAAACAAAGATTAACAGACAATAGACCAAAGCATTAAATACAAGTTTTCATTCAAAATGTTCGGGCACCGAACATTTTTCAAATTAAAAAAAAAAAGATTTACTGGCGATGGACTTAAGTGTTTAATCTATGTTTTAACTGAAAATGTTAGGGCACCGAACAATTTCCAAATTAAAACAAAGATAAACAGACAATAGACCAAAGCATTAAATACAAGTTTTCATTCAAAATGTTCGGGCACCGAACATTTTTCAAATTAAAAAAAAAAAAGATTTAAAGGCAATGGACTGAAGTGCTTAATCTATATTTTGACTAAAAATGTTAGGGCACCGAACAATTTCCAAATTTAAACAAAGATTAACTGACAATAGACCAAAGCATTAAATACAAGTTTTCATTTAAAATGTTCGGGCACCGAACATTTTTCAAATTAAAAAAAAAAAAGATTTACTGGCGATGGACTTAAGTGTTTAATCTATGTTTTAACTAAAAATGTTAGGGCACCGAACAATTTCCAAATTAAAATAAAGATTAACTGACAATAGACCAAAGCATTAAATACAAGTTTTCATTCAAAATGTTCGGGCACCGAACATTTTTCAAATTAAAAAAAAAAGATTTACTGGCGATGGACTTAAGTGTTTAATCTATGTTTTAACTAAAAATGTTAGGGCACCGAACAATTTCCAAATTAAAACAAAGATTAACAGACAATAGACCAAAGCATTAAATACAAGTTTTCATTCAAAATGTTCGGGCACCGAACATTTTTCAAATTAAAAAAAAAAGATTTACTGGCGATGGACTTAAGTGTTTAATCTATGTTTTAACTGAAAATGTTAGGGCACCGAACAATTTCCAAATTAAAACAAAGATAAACAGACAATAGACCAAAGCATAAAATACAAGTTTTCATTCAAAATGTTCGGGCACCGAACATTTTTCAAATTAAAAAAAAAAAGATTTAAAGGCAATGGACTGAAGTGCTTAATCTATATTTTAACTAAAAATGTTAGGGCACCGAACAATTTCCAAATTAAAACAAAGATTAACTGACAATAGACGAAAGCATTAAATACAAGTTTTCATTTAAAATGTTCGGGCACCGAACATTTTTCATATTAAAAAAAAAAAGATTTACTGGCGATGGACTGAAGTGCTTAATCTATATTTTGACTAAAAATGTTAGGGCACCGAACAATTTCCAAATTAAAACAAAGATTAACTGACAATAGACCAAAGCATTAAATACAAGTTTTCATTTAAAATGTTCGGGCACCGAACATTTTTCAAATTAAAAAAAAAGATTTACTGGCGATGGACTTAAGTGTTTAATCTATGTTTTAACTAAAAATGTTAGGGCACCGAACAATTTCCAAATTAAAACAAAGATTAACAGACAATAGACCAAAGCATTAAATACAAGTTTTCATTCAAAATGTTCGGGCACCGAACATTTTTCAAATTAAAAAAAAAAGATTTACTGGCGATGGACTTAAGTGTTTAATCTATGTTTTAACTGAAAATGTTAGGGCACCGAACAATTTCCAAATTAAAACAAAGATAAACAGACAATAGACCAAAGCATTAAATACAAGTTTTCATTCAAAATGTTCGGGCACCGAACATTTTTCAAATTAAAAAAAAAAAGATTTAAAGGCAATGGACTGAAGTGCTTAATCTATATTTTAACTAAAAATGTTAGGGCACCGAACAATTTCCAAATTAAAACAAAGATTAACTGACAATAGACGAAAGCATTAAATACAAGTTTTCATTTAAAATGTTCGGGCACCGAACATTTTTCATATTAAAAAAAAAAAAGATTTACTGGCGATGGACTTAAGTGTTTAATCTATGTTTTAACTAAAAATGTTAGGGCACCGAACAATTTCCAAATTAAAATAAAGATTAACTGACAATAGACCAAAGCATTAAATACAAGTTTTCATTCAAAATGTTCGGGCACCGAACATTTTTCAAATTAAAAAAAAAAGATTTACTGGCGATGGACTTAAGTGTTTAATCTATGTTTTAACTAAAAATGTTAGGGCACCGAACAATTTCCAAATTAAACCCAAGATTTACTGACAGTAGACCGAAGTATTAAATACAAGTTTTCATTCAAAATGTTAGGGCACCGAACAATTTACAGAACTACAATATACCATGTACAAAATATATAAAAGGGACTTTTTTAAGCATAAAAAAATTCACTAAAGGTAAATGTTAGGGCACCGAACATTTTGTATAATTTTTTAAAAATTACTTTCTTTATCTCAAATAAGTTTTGAAAATAATAAAAACTTGATGACTTTGAAAAAAAAATGTTCAGCACTTTGCGAAATAAGTATAAAAGAAACGAATTATTGTATGACTAGACTAAAGCATTAAATCTGTGTTTTAATTCAAAATGTTTGGATGTAAAACAATTTCCAAATTAAACAGAAGAAAAGATTTTCTGACAATAGATAAAAGCATTTAAATACAAGTTTGCATTCAACATGTTATGGCACCAAACATTTTGGAAATTAAAAAAAAAAGAATTACTGACAATAGATAGAAGCATTTAAATACAAGTTTTCATTCAAAATGTTACAGCACAGAACATTTTACAAAATGAAAAAAGAATTATATTCTTACAGTCTATAGCATTAAAACAAATTTACAGATATATAAATATAATGCTAACACATCTACAATTTTTCTAACATATGTACAGTATAAGTTAGTCTTCTACAATTAAAAATGTAATGGCATTTTACAGACTTTAAAAATTGACTGAAAAACTTGCAATGATGTTTAAAAAACTATAAAATTTAACTAGGTTTGATCAAACAGAACAAGAATATATTTACTAACATTGGGCAGACTTGAAATTTAAAAAAAAGGCTTTCTTACATGTTATAACACAAATCAGTTTTCTAAGTTTCATGAAAATCAAGGGTTGTTTGATGAAATGCTACAAGCTTAAAATTTTGGCCACCTACTATATAACCAAGAGTAAAAAATATTTACTACAATATTAATAATACCACGTTATTGAAATTCCAGAGGTAGATACTTTTATTTCCTCCATATTTGGAGAGCAAAACATATTTACAATTGAATACATTGTCACATCAACTATATATACCATATGTACAAACAACATACATTTTACTCATATAAATAATACATGCACAAACATTAAAATAAACTAGAACTCTGAGAGTCAGATGTGTCGCCTTGTGAACAATGTAGTTTAGGAGAAAGGCCAGTACAAAAATGAAATATGAAAAATAACTAAAAAATAATAAGTGCAGAGCAGCAGTTTCTATGTACTGCACTTCCTATCAATAAGATCTATCATTCTATGATGTTTCAAGTCCATAGCTTTCATACTTGAGGAGAAATAACCAGGACAAAAATAAAGTAAGAAAATCAACAAAGGGCAATAACTCAAAAAATAAGAAATGCAGAGTATAAGTTCTTATGCACTGCACTTTTTCTATCATCCTATGAAGTTTCAAGTCCATAACTTTATACTTTCGGAGAAATGGCCTGGACAAAAATCAAGTATGAAAATTAACAAAGGGCCATAACTCAAAAATTAAGAAATGTAGAGTACCGATTCTTGTGCACTGCACTTCTTCTTAATGAGATCTATCATCCTATGAAGTTTCAAGTCCATAGGTTTTTTAGTTGAAGAGAAATAACCAGGACAAAATTAAAGTATGAAAATTAACAAAGGGCAATGACTCAAAAAAATAAGAACTGCAGAGTACCAGTCCTTGTGCACTTCGAGTTATTGAAAGAAGCATGCATACCAAGTTTGAAGTCAATCAGACTTATAGTGACTGAGTAATGCTCCGGACAAGCTTTAGGGGCGCCGACGCCGACAACGCCGCCGCCGACAAAAGTAACCCCTATATGTCACTTTTTCAAGGCGACACAAAAACCATTTGATTATAAAAGCCTTGAATTAGAGTATTTGACCATGTAAATTATTCAATTCAAATTAATAAGAAAAAAAATTAGTCCATTGTTATAATGACCAATGGTATAGACTTATCTCCAGTTAAATGATCTTGTCGAAAACGAAATTAAGATACATTCTGGAATTAAGTCTGTGAAGTTTTCGCCTGACTTTGCCCTGAACGCAGTACCTGTCTAAGGCTATACGTTGAATAATTTGCAAAGTTTGGCTTGTTGACATCATCAATTACTTCAATTTCTGTATCTCATGGTGCCTTTGAGTGGAAATCATTCCATCTGACTTCCACTGAACTCGACATCTACCTGAAAGAAGAAAAAGAATATGAAAATGATAATGAATGGCAGCTAGTTCCAAGAATTATAACTCTTGAATGTTACCATTCTGTGGTTAATCTCCCTTGGAGTTATAAATTAATTCTGTACACAACAAACTTTTATTGAGAGGTCTGAAAGTCTAAAATCAAAATTTGAATTTCCATCATAGATCAATGGGGGCACATGAAATTGAAAGGCATGCAAGACTTGAGGTCAGTTTTCATTAATAAGTTTGTATAAATGGAGTAGAGAATGATCTGAGCCTATGTCTTTCCTTTTATATATATAAAAGGAAAACCCATGTGCAGAGTCAATTTTGATGGCAGGACTATACCTTAGAAAACTTGGTGAAAACTTGGTGATTGTCCAATAGAAATGTATCAGGCAAAAAATAAAAACCTTGGCCTTAACCCTTAGAGTATTTTGAGAATTTTAGGTTTTTTAAGTATTAACTAAATGTATATTAAGAAAATCAATAATCCCAGGGCCTATTTTGACCAAAGGGCTATAACTTGAACAATTTTTGTAGTGGTCTTCTAGACATTATTTCTAGCTAAATATCTAAGCTCCAGCACTGAAAGTCTTGAATAAGATGATTTTGAAAGTTTGAGGAAAATAAATGACCCCCAGGGTCGGCCAATTTTAATCCCAGAACTATAAATTGAAAAATTTTGGTAGAGGGCCACTAGATTTATGCAGAACATCTATGCTCTAGAACTTGTAGTTTTTAAAAAATGTATTTTATGGAAAATGATTATGACAATGACTCTGCCGTGCAATTTTATCGGATATTAGTTTAATTTCTTCCTATTTTCCTTTAATGAAAAGTATTTTTATATGTATAGATATATTTAGATTAACATACCATCCGAATATGGAAATAGAACAGTGGCTTCCAGCCAACTCTCCACACCACTGTTTTCATCCCGCCAAAACGCCATAATCCTCTCACCTTTTGTAAACATATTTTTCTGAAATAAACATACAATTGCACTTAGCCAGTTTTTTGAAAATTAAATGAGAAAACATTTATGGAATCTGTGTAAAGGTATCAAAATATTAAAGGTGCATATCAGTTTGTGCCTTCTTTATAACTTACACATTTTCTTATTTCAAAATTTGCCTTAGATTAATAGGATGAGCATCAGAATAGTTATCCAAGGGTTGCTGCTTCAATCCTCAGACAATCCTCAGACAAGGAGAAATTTCTCCATGACAAATGACCTTATCTAATGGTCAGTCATCACTCCATCATTAGGATTAAAAGCAGGTCACTTGAAGAGAAATTCATAATTACTAGTTTATTATGCAGAAAAGGCAGTTTGGTAGATTAATCATAAATATATGAAGACAGATGACTTAAAATTGGTGTAAAAATGAGGAAAACAAAGTTATGTCTGTCAACAAGAGACCATCTGTAAGCCACTGTCAAAGTTAAAACTCAGCTACATTGATTCAACTAGTAACAACAATTCCAAGTTTAAATTTCTTATCTTCAGTAATAGTAGCATGCTTTGAAGGTTAACAATTTTCATGTACAATATAACTGCCATGTGTCAAACTTTGATAGTCTCTGTGTATTTCCAAAATTTCCCCCTTCATGTCCTTTATTACAACCTATAATTTCTATAGTCACATTTGTTTGTGTCGATATTTTCAATGTTTTTTATCTTATTGTTAAAGAATAAAATTTAGTGTCACAAGTCAACATATATTATTTAATCATTATTCTTCAAAGTCAAATCAAGACAACAGATGTCACAGTCTGGGGGGTTCATAAATCTGTAATTCATTGATTAACAGTTTCCTTTTGATGCTGTGCACATAACTTTTTTTGCAGAAGTCTACAGTTAGAATTTCATGAAGTTATAAATGGCAAAGTTTTAAAATCAAAAACTGACATTATACTCACCATACACCTTCTTCTTTTAGTTTCATTTTCAGTCTTTTCTTTGACATTTCCTTCTTCAATGACATTTCCTTCTTCAATGACATTTCCTTCTTCAATGACTCTTCCTTCTTCAACATCAGTCTTTACTTTCATTTCCTTAAGTTTATTTGCAAGGAGCAAATTTTCTTCTTCAAGCTGTTTATATTTTTCCTTTAAAATAATTTCATTATTGACATGAGCAATTATATTACAAATGCTTTGATTTAGGCGATAGAAAATAAATAACTAGATTCTCATCTAAAGTTTGGAAAGAATGGGCGTGGTTGGATTTTATTTTCTTTTATTTCGATGAAATTTTTTTTCTGGAATTATGCACAAAGTCAATTTTTGGAATTTGTTCTAATATAATCTATTTAAGTGGTAATATTATATGTATGTAAAATAGATAGTTATTGAGAAAATAAAAGCAACATGATGATATATCTTGATTGTAATTTACTGAACCTTAGATATTCGACATCCAAAGGATTGATCGTTCGGCAAAAAAGAACAAATATATATTGTTACATATTTTATTTTACTATCAGCACAACAAGCATTGCTATCAATTCAATAAGTATCCTATTGCTGAAAATATTGAGTTGAACATAAATAATCATTATATTTTTAGTTTATATTAAAAGAGTGTAAAATAAATTCTAAATTTTACAAAAGAGTTGAATAAAGATGTATTATGCTTGCCTCTGGTAATCAATATTACTTTTTCCTGGTGTTAAGTCTATTAAAAATCAATCAACCAATGAAACTACACAAAAATAATATCCTATTTAAATACCACATAGCTAACAATAATAACATCTAAAAAAAGTACAAACAAATCTTATTTTCACTTTTATACCATGACTATACATATTATAAAGTGTATGTACAAAATCATGCTGCATGCTTACCGTGATTTTTTTTTTAAAAATCTCAGGTCACAAGGACCAGCATCCTTAGGTTTATTTAGTTCATACAAATTTATGATAGTTTGATTGTGTTGGAAGCTATAAGCTTATTGTAAATTATTTGAAAATAAAAATCATTTAGACCGGGGGAGTTTTTGACGGGCTGGCAGGGATGAGAATCTGGGAATTTATTTTTTATTGCCTTATTGTACTCAACCTCACTAAACACTTCATCATTATTTATAATAAGTAATAGCATTTATAAAATTTAAGTGTTTTTTTTTAACTGATTAAACTTAACCTTGTAAGGAGTTGTTTCGTAACATTCACATGAAAGGGGGTTGACATTATTGGGAAACACATAAAGAGATCAAAAACATATTGATTATATAAGTTGTTTCAATTTCTCTAACAATAGGTATGATTAAAAAAGGACATTTTTTATGGTTCCATTTAAGGGAACAGTCCAACAGCACCAAGCAAGAGACTACTTTTGACTGGCTTTTTAAGGCCAAACTTACTAGAATCAGGGTCTTATGATGTCATTTTCAGGAAAATGTCATAGTATGACAATGCTGCATTGAGCATTATACTTGAGCATAAACACAATCTCACATGATTACCTATTCATGTTGAATTCAATTTAACAAGACCCAAACTTTCTGTCGTGCTAAAATATGCTTTAGATACACAATAAAAACTTACCATAAGCTCTTCATATCTCTGTCTCCAACTAGTCTGGTCCTGCTATAAAAATACATTTCAAAAACTTTAAAATCATCTATAATGCTCTTTACACAATAAGTGTATATTAAGAATATATATCTATTAAATACATTTAATGACCTGATACATCATTATAAGAAAATTGATGGATGCTAATTTGATGCAGTTTATTAAAATATAAATCTAATACAATTAAAGTAAAAAAAAATCTTCAGAGACATTTTCTTCACCAACTTGCACAAGATAAATTAAACCATCCAGATAGACTGGTTGACAGTAGAAGGTAAGTGTTAGAACAAAAATTGCTGTTTAGTAACTGTTAAGGTAACTGACTGATATAGGTAGAATTTATAAGTATTACAGCAGAGCAACAGATAAGCTTTTAAAGTGAATTGGGTATTACTCCATCATTTCCTTTGGAATTGGGTATTGGCTCCATTTAATTGGGTATTCCAAAACTCGATACCCTATGATTTCAAGATTAATTGGGTATTCAATTATGAAGATATGAATTTTATGGTTTCAGTATCAATAAAATTTAAACTGTTTTAAAAAGAAAATAGGATTAACAATTTACTAGAACTTTTCACAAATGTTTTATTTTTTATATAAAATGCTCATGTTATATTTCATAATATTTTTAACAAGTTCGTTTTCCGACTGATTTTTTTTATTAAATGTATTTACGACTGTTTTGTTTCAAATCATTTTCCCTTTTGTACGACGCCATATTGCTTTCAAAGCGTCTATTGATACAGCTGGGACCTACTTATTGACGGTCTCCGCAAAATCAACGGTCTCCGCCGGCCTGTAAAGACCGTCGACCTGAGTAGACAAATCGACGGACTCATGCTTTATTGATATGGCTTAGTCGGTCTTTGGAGACCGGGGACCGTCGAAGACTGGAGACCGTTGATTAGTTAGCATTGATTCGGGAATATTCGGATAGCATGCATATCGATATAATTTGTCCAAAACTACGAGCGTACGACAGATTAATTTTGCGGTGATGAAAATGACAATACGCACGGGTTTTTAAGACAATTGCGTATTTTATTTTTTTTAACGGGTTTTGATACGCATTCTTAAAAAATCAATTGCGTATTTTATAAATTTAATTGCGTAAATACGCAAATACGCACCTTATCTGTTGCTCTGATTACAGGTAAAATCATTTGTTGCTTCATACTAGTCACCATTTAGACAGATTTTATTAAACACAGAACAAAAATGCAATTTGGAATGTTTTACTATTAAAGTAATTTTTTTTGCCATATCAAACAATTTCTATAGGCAGTTGAAATGGTCTATGTATAAACAAGACCTGTCCACAGACAGCACACTTCACTCCCCAATACTGGATAGTAAATCAAAGGGTCAAATTAAAGCAACATACAAAAGGGACATAACTCTGTATACATTGTTATCAGACTGGTGGCATGATAGCTCAGTTGGTTAGACCACTGATTGTCACTCCTAAGGTTCTGGGCTCAATCCTAGGTAACTACCCTGGGATTTTTCAGAAACACTTCCAGTGTTTCCCACCTAACTAGAGGTGTACTGGTAAGAAATCCAGGTAATCCTCACATGTATCAGTGCTATACACTGGGCATGTAAAAGAACCAAGGAATCTATTCAATAAGAGCTAGGGACTGGTTCCCGGATTCCCTTGTATCTTATAGCTGTCTCTAGAGTCTGCTGAGGTAAGGACCCTACTGGAAATAAGTGCTTGCTAAAAGAGCCTTAATCAAGAAATAATACATCAGGAAAATTTACCTGGGTAAGTGGTAGTTCTTCTAGAACATGACCAGTTCCCTCTGTTGGAGCAACATTTTCATCCTCTTCATGACATGTTTCCTCAGCCTGTATAAAAGTGCATGTGATTGATATTAACAAAATATTTTATGCTTACAATGAAAATAAATAATTTGAAGAGGAATTTAAAAGGAATGGAAACTTTCTCTTTTCAATGTCACTGCAATGTCACTGTGATTCCAGATGAGAAATAATGCCAGCAATATCTTTCCCTTACATAACACCAAAATATATTAGAAAATGGCACTGTTCACATTCAGATAAAATCAATCAAGTTTATATTGATAAAAAAAAGTATTTATTTAGCAATAGAAATAATTCCAAAAGAATACATGGCATACTAGGTAAAATTTGCAATTTGAGTTAAAATTACACTAACAGTTTTCCTAATATGTCTCGTGCCAGCAGCATTAAATTTTCAAAGTAAGGAGAAAAAGTTGGTAGCAATGGTTTCCAAACTTTAAGTAATGAAGGATCAAGGAATACATCAGTTACCCTTTAGAACAGTATCTTGCAAAAGAAAATAAGATGGGATTGTATAACACAATCATGTTTAGTCTAAATACTAGTTTATGTATCACTTCGTTTTTTTGTTGTTTTTGTTTAAGACTGTTCTTGGTTCTCTTTTTGCCTTTTGTTTTTGTTGTTATAATGACATAAAAGGTTATGTGAAGGTAAAGAAGTGATTGTGATTGATTATAGAACTTGCAGACTGAAAAAACTTAACACCTGTTTAATAACAACATTAATTCAGAAGATCTGACATTAACAATCTATATTGATGAGATTCGTGGTTTAACTCATAGAGCCACACATTATAATTTACAAATAAATGTGTGCCCACTGAGTTTTGTAATTATTTCAAATGGATAAAAAGATAAAGTTACCAATTTCAAAGGAATTATTTGGGGAGATATGAGAGAGACTGAGAGAGTATCTTAGAAAATCACTACATATTTATCAAGTATCATTAATAAATTTTTTTATGACAACAAACAGAGTGAAAATTGAAAATGAAAAGCGTTTAAATTCTTTTCACTCAAATCGGGCTAAGCAAAGCATGAAAATAAAATTTTCAATTTATTTCAAAGTATATTTCTTAATTATCTTTGCATATGTTTTTGTTTAAAGTGACCCAGTTCATTTATGTAAGAAATTCAAATGTTAGGTTTTTAAGCTTTTAAACCTCAGTGGAGTCCCTTTAATATACACAATGTCAAATGACATTCCAAAGTAACCAATGCAGCCTAAAATGAAGGTATCAAAAAACTTTTCTATTAGTTTCTGTAGCTCTAATGGTAATAGCATTCCACAGAGAAACATTGAGTATATTCATCTACATTATTATATAAATGTATGGATATTGTAGTTATGGGGTCTTTGTAGTTTGAAATATTGACATAGGGAGACTAAAATGCCTACAAAAAAAACTACATATAAATATAGAATGTATACCTTTCTCTTCTTTTCATTCTTTTTTCCTCTCACAAATCCAGCATCTATCAAAGTCTTCCTGAATTAAGTGAAAATGTCAATTTTAATTTTAAAAACATCCATATCTAAAAAAAACATGATTAAAATTTAATATTATTTCTGGTTATGGAGATAACTTAAGCAGGGGCACACAAATTATCATGTTGTGAAAATGTTTTGGGTACAGTCTCATTCAGAGCCTTGTAGTAATTTCCATTTTCATGAAAGAAATTTGTTGTATGCATTAAATATTTTTAGCTGCAATTGAATTTTGTCATGTTTGATAAACAAATATCAAGACATGTATCCAAACAAAATATACTAAAATGAATTCCATGGTGCTACCCTATCTTAATGAACTTATCCCATAATTGCTCTTTTACAAATTAAAACACTGGCAGACTAACAGAGTGCGACATTCCTACAATAGGGTTTTTATATGGCTACCCTATAGTCTTCTATTGCTTTTTTCGATAATGAAATATTTAGCCTCAAATATACCATACTGAACACCAAAATTAAATATATCCTGATGTTCCAATAGCCTCATAGGCTTTTGTTGGTACCCTTGAAATTTTTAAATAAGCTCATTGAAATTCCATATCAACTAGTTTAAATCCAAGTTGAATTGGCACATAATCATATGATGAAGTTCTAGGATCAAACTAAGTAGTCTGAGTAAACTTGTATAATAATTTCCATATTGATAGATGTTCTCAATTATTGGTTATCAGCCAACATTAAAGTTTAAATATAAGTGTCACTTTGCCTATCTGAGACATTGCATATATACATACACATTCTGTTTGAAAGCAGCTGCTCCTTTTGCCAACAGTGTATCAATGGATATGAACTTGTCACTGTCCTCCAACCTTATAAATCCTCTCATCAACTTCTCTGACATTGTCAGTTTTTCAGATGCCAAAGAAACTTTTGACCAAAGGTCTGGCTGTAAGCTGGCGACAGCTAGGTGCACCCCAAAACATTGGACTAATCTCCGTCTGTCCTAAAAAATATTTAAACATGTATCAATATCAAATAAAAAACCTATAAAAAAGTATGTTTAAATATAAATGGAAGCTATTAAGTTTGATTTATAAAAACATTTAAGATCTTTTGAAGTTAAAAGTGTTCTCTACTTCTATATATAACATTTACTTTATAAATGCCACTTGGATAAGGAAGTCTCATTTCTACACTTTCTATGCCATTTAACATTAAGTGTGAAATCTTTTATAAAAGCCCTTTCATGTAGAATTCATTGATTCTTAAGTATTTTTGATAATTCACAATATATTGCAAAAATTGTCTGTAAACATCCAGGCCTCAACAAATCCACTTGTATGGGAGTGAAAGTTTGGGTTAGTGAGGAAAAAATTGATTGAACTCGCCCAATCCAATGATATTTCTCTAAAGATTAACTGTAAATGAAGTTTTTCAGTAAAAATTCAAAACTGCAGATGCAATTTCAACCAAAATACTGTCAAATGAGAACCGAAAATTGACCATATGACTTGGGTATAAAACTTTACCGAAAGCGACTGATAAATTGATTTCGTAACAACATCAGCATTTGACAATGTTTTATTCATACGCTTTGGTATGTTTTATAATTGGTCAAGTATTTTAACCGAGTGCATGCGTGTGTTGAATAAATATTTAGGTTTGTTGAGGATTATATAGATCTATTTAAAGAATGCAAAGTGTTATAAACATTATTTAACAATAATGTAAATGAATTAAGGCGATTATATCAATCAACCAGTTAATATTAAATTTGAGTCTTATGTTTGATTTTTACAAATTTTGTCCATCAAAATGCAGGGCAAGTACATTTTATGAAGGCCAAGTAAATTTGAAAGATCAGTCACCCAGTAGGGCATGTGACCCTAGAAAAATTAATTGAGGTCTGACATCCCAATATAACTTTTCTTTGCAATACCCAGCCTAAACTGTAAGAGATATTATCTGCTGTTTACAAAAATTGCATTTTAAATTTTTTGATATTTGCAAAAAGAATCCACAAAATAATGAAAATGTGCTTCTGCACAAAACAATAAAATTTCATGCCAACAAAATTACAAATGTATTATATTTTGAAACACACCTTTATGAAACCAATTCTAAAATGCTTTATTCAATAATTTATTAAACTGAAATCAAAATTGCATTCTCAGCATCATGTTTATCATATAAATTACACAAGAATAAGGTTTTAAACCAACAATGGAAAAGTATATGTAGAATAAATTCAAGTTCAGCCCTTTTGTGTAACACAAATAGTGGGTATAAACTAGTACTACCTATTATAATAAAAAATTTATACCTTTACACCTAGCACTGTCTTCAGTGAGTCTTTCCATTTATTAGTCTCCTCTTTCGTCATGTCCAACGATGGTCGGCAGTCTCTCACCTGTACGAAAATTCTGAGCCAATTTTGTACAGACTCTGTACCAACTCTGGTTGTTATAGAGGCAGATTTTCATTTTTCTGTACAGAGTTGACACCGACACAGAATTGGACACAGAATCGGCCTAGGAAATAGGTGATTTTCTGTGCAGAATAAAACAGAATCAAAAATTTTTCTGTACAGAAAAATTTTCACACAGATAGTTTGCTCTTAGTTATTTTTACAAGACAGAATTTCAATACTTAGAAAAAAAATTGAGGCAGAATTTACATAGACACACAGAATTTTAACACTTAGATAAATCTTGAGACAGAATTTACTTTTCTAGCCAGAATTTCACTCTGAGTTAATCTCAGAGTAGTAGATAGATATTCTGTAATATCAGGTGTAACCCCCATGTAACCCCTGTCGGTCAATTCAAATCTCTCAGACTGCCACACGAGGTTTTATTACACAAAGTGTCTTCACATTGGCAAAGATTAAAACATTGGCAAAGATTAATATTAGGGCTTTTGTTTAGTTTATTTTTCTAATGATTAGTTAACAAGTTAGTTGTTGTGAAGAGCAATCATGTAGAGACTTGAAATTCTCAGATTTAGGGGCCAAAGAGGAATTATGATGGAATTATAATCAAAACCAGAGGTAAGATTTTGCAATGTTTTCTTTGAATTTTTCTTTGAATTATTTGGTTATACCTTCCACTGTAAATAAAAGAAATTATTTATACATCTTTTAATAGTCTATGAATTATCTATATTAGTTAAATTTACTCTGATTTGAGGTCTAATGAGTATAAAATTAATGCACTGTCAGGTCAAAGCTGGGCCAGTGAAATTACTAGTTCATAAATTGCTTTTTGATCAGTTGATAGGTCAAGATCTATTTTTTTTTTAATTTCTTGCTCTATTATGCAATAAATAGTTTAGCTTTTTGTTTTGCTATTCTATAATTCAATTCATTTAGTTTAAATTAATCAATTCAAAACTCCCGGAAATTGTGTAGAATGTACAACCAACAACAGTTGCTATGGTCAGTGCTTATCAGCAATTCTATTTTTAGAATATTGGCCACTTGTAAATCTCTCCTATTTTAAGTTTTGTTGCAATTTACATGACTGTGTAGATTTGTAACACAAGCTTTGGTCAGGGATGATATATGTAAACAGTTTTATTAGTCAGTGACTTTGATGTTACTTGGTGCAAAAAAACTTAAGGTTATATAGGGATACAATTTTAACTGTTTTATATACACTTATTAAATATTTTACAAATTTTGCATATCATTTAATAATAGAATGAACATTTCAATTCAAATTCCTTTTTTTTTACTCTAGATTATGTCAGGATGTGTGTGTGGTGCAAAGACAGAGACAAGCCAATTCCTGATGACAGCGCCCTCAACAAGGCTATTACTCATTGGATAGACCTCTCCAGGAAAGAAATGAATAAAATTGTTAATTGAAATTAATAAATAAGAAATGTTCAAAAGGAAAATTGATTTTGTTTTTAGCCAAAAAAACGAAAATCTGTACAGAATATTTTCTGTACAGATTTTTTTCTGTGCAGAATTCCCTTTCAGATATTTCCTATGGACAGGGTTAATTCTGTACAGAATATGAAGAAGCCCAGATTTTTTTCTGCCCAGATTTTTTTTCTGCCCAGATTTTTTTTTTCTGCCCAGATTTTTTTCTGCCCAGAAAATAATCGGCTTAATTTAAATATTTCAGAAAAAATCTGTACAGATTTCGTTCTTTATCCTTATTGCTAAAATCTATTAATAGAATTCTGGTTCAACTTTGTTTCATTTAACCAGATTTTTTTCTGTACAGACTCTGTACAGAGTTTTCTAAATAAAGTCTGTACAGATTCTGTCTGCATTCTGCCCAGACTTTTTCGTACAGGTATCATTCTAGCCTTGTCCATGAAAGAGACAGGTTTGACCTTTTCGTGGAGTACCATATTATGAGAGTATCCAATTCTCAGAGCAAAGATCCTTGGAAGAGGTCTGAATAGATTACACTTAACGGTCGTATATCCAAGAGTTCCTTTCCTGTGTAATGTTTGTAGGGCTTCTCTTGTATGGTTACCACCCAGCACCTCTACCTTTCCAGACCCTTCCTGGTATAAGGTGCTGTGTGTAACCATATCATCTGTCAACATTCCCTGAAAAATAACCACCTGGCCACAACTGTTGTCCGAAAATGACTCTGTCAGTTTCCCTACATGATCATGGTCCAGGACTCTTGTAGCTCTAGAAGGATGTGGGGCAATCAGATTGTCAATATGGACTTCCACTGTACCTGAAAAGATGAAAATGAATATATAGTATATACAGACCATCTTCGTTTCCTTGCTCAAAGTCCAGCAACATTTTGTATATTAACTGGCAATAACTCCTGAAATTTGGGGCCAGAGACATTTTCTCAGTCAAGTTGTTTGATGTTTGTTTGATTCTTTAATCATCAAAGGAGGTGCGAATTAAGGCTAGGGTTTTAAGGTGACAATAAAGTCAATTACCAAATGAGATTTTTTGCTTAGTAGATGTATCAACCTTTCCTGAACACATTTGTAATTTATTTTTGGAAGCAGTTAGTCTAGAAACTATGTTTTGAAACGTTTTAAAATGGTACCTAAACCTTTTTTATCTGCTATGCGCATAAACTGTCAATTATCATTGTCATTGTTGAGGCATCAATGAGGGAAATCGGTAGTAGAATTACATGTTTATTTGTTATTAGTTGATACTACTCATTCATGTATCAAACAAATACTGTACATCTTTTATGAATATCTCAATATTATATTGTCTACCTTTATTTAGCCTTTTTTTTAATAAATTAAAAAATTGAATGCCAAGATTTTACATAAACTATTTAGCACAGCAGCAAATTGCATGACAATGCGAATGATTAAAAACAATGTAGTTGCTAAAATATCCTTAATGTATGAAATAATAATTTATTTGTCCCGTAATCTGATAGACACTTCATTACTGGTTTCGTAGCAGTTTCCGGTCACAAATCGCACTGTTTAACAAATCAAATAAAAATCAATACCAAAAAGGCCTGAAACGTAACACCTTTTTTCACCTTTAATCAAACTTGGGTCATCAGCAATAAACATCTGGTTTAAAGTACATGAAAGGGAATTCAGATATGAAGGGAATAGAGTAAGGGATTTTTGTTTGTTAAATCAATGACTTAATTATTTTCAATTACGTAATATGTGTGTGAAAAAAGTCGCATAACATGCCTTTTACTAAAAAAGTTTTGCACATAGGGAGAATGCAGTAATTTATAGAACTCTTTGAAATGTTTTTGAATATTTTGTTCTACATCAATAAGGTGAATAAAAGTTTGGAATAGGAGTTTTCATGACTTTTTTTACAGCAAAGGTTCTTTCTCCCTTGGTTTTCTGCATTTCTATGTCAAGGATAAAAATTAAAATGCACAAAAAGCAATAACTACAAATTAAGGGAAGGGGCGTAGGGTTGGGGGGGGGGGTTTGACAGTTCTTCTGCACTACACTTCTTCTCATTCAGACATATCTACTGGTACCGTTGGCCTAGTGGGTAAGGCGTCCGCCTTCGGATCGGGAGGTCGAAGGTTCGAGCCCCACGGGGAGCGTTAATTGAAGGATGAATGTTTCTCGTGGGACTCGTTCCGAAATGGCCGCTTCATGAGCCGCGAGGTAGTTAAAATGAATGGTTACCGATATCTATCCGCCTGGCGCATGGCATAGTGGTAGGAATTGGGAGGTACATGGTATGCAACCAAAAGGTGTCTCATAAGTCAAAATGGCTGGCCCTTTCAGTAGGGGTGACACTATAATAAACAAGACCTTTACCTTTTTTTTTTTCTACTAACAAAGTTTGAAGTTGATCCCTTTTATAATTCTCAAGTTATGTGCTGGACAAAAATCAAAGTGTAGCAATGAGCAAAGGGCAATACCCTAGTCCGGACAAAGTTTTGTTCTTTTACTTAGCATTATTACATGGTTGTTAGGAGGGAAAACATTTTATTTGATAATATTTATATTTAAGTTTAATCAATGTCAATTTTGATGAAATTTTGCAAAATGTTAAGTGCCACAACTTCTGTTATGAATTTTTTAAATGATTCAGACTTGACACATCAATTTGTACTTGAAAATTGTACTTGGTGCACCATGATAACACTGTATCTATGAGATCATAATCTCTGTGTACTAACCACTAGTCTAATTGACAAAATTATAGACCCAAGTATTTAAAAACTGTGCATGGAAGTTTGAAGCTTAATTTAAACCATTCTAAAGTTGCCTACTGCCGGTATTGGTGACATGAGGACCCTAGAAGGGCTCTATCCATCAGTTACACTAATTTAAAGGACAGAGGTTCACATTAAATTAGGCTCTACTACAAAATTGTGCTGTTTTTTTAAAAAACATCTTACCTATATTATATTCCATCAACATCTTATCTTCATGGCTGTTAGCTGAAAGTATCTGACTTGATGCTGAAAAAATTGGAAGATAATAAAGCAAACAGGAATTTCACATTTTTATCTTGACAACACAAAGGATATAGAAAGTTAATACATCCAGATTTGTGAACAGTTAAATATCTTCAATACTGTACATGTATTGAGTTTGCTGAAGCAAATTTTCGCAGAAAGGATCATTTTGGGGGTCTATATACAAATATTTGTGCTATTTCATTTACAGAGTTGACTGCCGAAAATCATAAAATTGCGTAGACCGCTGAGGTTAAAAAAATAATGGAAATTACTCTTACAAGATTTTGGAATGGTGTAAAATACGTACGAATGCAGACAATGTTAAAAATCAAATTAAAGTTATTTTTAAAATCTGGGGTCCAAAAATATGCTAATGCACAGACGAAGACATTGTCAAGCGGACATATTATGGTAATGCCTGTGTGCCTGTATGTTTTTTTCCACAGTTTAACAAAATTTAACACACTGTATATAAATCAGTTTGAATTTTTTCTGAAAACTATCTAGAATGGTAGAAAATGGTCAAACTAAAAAAATAAATTCAATATCTTTAATTCAGTCATTAACACTTTTCAGAAGTTTAAAGTGTTTTCTATTGATGTCAAAATGTAGCGTCAAATAGCGCATGCAAAAACAGCCAAAACAAAACGCTATTTCAATGTTGCAACCAGTTAAAATTCATATTTCTTTCATTATAAATACTCTGTGTTTTGCTCAAAACATATAAAAGGAAATAAAGGACCAGCCTTTAAAGAAGGTTTCTTAAGAAGGCAAAAACAAATTAAACCACCAAACATATAGTCCAAAGATAAACATATATCTAAATTTTTTGTTGACATGTTAGAATGGAAATAGATATTAATTCTTCATGTATTATAGTATGATAATGCACAGCTTTTGTAATTAATCACTTTGAGATTATATTACTACGCATTTGAATTCACACCATGCATTATTCTACAACAATGCACTTAGAGTTGATATCTATTTCCTAAACATTGTTCATTATTGTAATACAGTATATCGCCGTTATTCAATGTTAGATTGAAAAAGGCATGTATACTAGAAGACACTTCTACTGCAACTCCCACATTTTTTTATTTATTCAGAATATTGCGGTTAATGAAATTTGCATTGTTGAATTTGAAATTTACAACATTATATAATATGTGTTGCCTGTAAATTTGATTTCAGTGAAAGTACAAAGGTTAAAATTTATTGCATAAATTGAAAAATAAAAAAAAATAACAATAATGAAAGGATTATTTTATATTGGCAGTTAACACTGAAAAAATCCTTAAATTTAGCAATATTACACATGTATATTCTAATATGTATGTGATATAGATTACATGGTAACATTAAAATCTGTTTGATACATTCATCCAGTCCTTAATCAATTGGAGCAAAAAAAAGTATTTTTTAAAGGATTTAAGTGAATTTTTTCTAGGATTTTATAGCAGTTATATGGTGTAGATGATGCAGAATATTGCCAGCTTCCACTACCAAACACTTGCCTCATATTTTTTAATAAGCTTACTGGCTCAAATTCCATTCTTATTAACAAAGAAAAACTAATGGAGGGATTTATGGACATTAACAGTGGGTATGTATGCATTGCTGTTTATATATTTCTTACCATTAGTCTCTGATTCAGATGTTCCATTTGATGCCAAACCTTCTTCTAAAGAATCAATACCTTCGTTGCTCCCTATAAAATTCAATAAGTGATTATTAGTGATAACATTATATATATTAAAACTATATATATATACTCAACATCACTAACTCCGCGTCATCACTTATTTCACGATAATGGCATATTTTTTTGTGACCAGTGTTAAAATTGGTTAGAATTGACATATTTTGTTCAAACACCTAAACAACAAAGTTTTTGTGCAAAAAGTTTAAATCTATAGATTTTTACATAAAACAGAACAAAATTTTCAATTTTCTTCAAAAAGCAACAATAGTCTGTTAAATTTGTGCATACGTCTGAAACAATCATCATTTTCTACATGTTCTTGTTTGTTGACAAAATAAATTTTGAGTTACAATGTAAAAATACTTTTAATATTCAAAATTATGCAAAATAACATGTAGAAATTTAAACTGAAACAAGAAAAATCTGAAATAAAACACCATTACTGCGATTTAAATGATGACATACTGTTTTCAAAATGGCCAACATATGGTCAACATCTGGCTTATTTAGACTGATTTTAACTATATATATATTGTTGTTTCATTGTGTCATACAGAAGAAAATACCTATATGTTACAGCTTATGACAATTCTTGTACCAATAAATTTTTATGTGTTGTTTTCTTTCTTGCTTCAAAGCGTTAAGTACCGTGAACTAAGAGGAGCACAGTATATATATATATAATGTCGTAAAACTTAGATTTTTTTTCTTCATAATTAAAATTTACTTTAATCATACTTAAACATAATGGTTATTATCTTGTGTGTTCCTTTTCTTTGTAACATCAAAAATATTTTTTTTTACACAAACGAACCTTTCATCAGATATTTCACAAAGATGTCGCCATTTTTTAGGGCATTTTTTGTCTGTTATAATATACTAGTATCTGGATGTACTGCAGTGTGCAACTTGATCAGAATATGTCCTTAAATGTTGACCAGTTTGATAACAAATGTCTTTCATTACTCTGTAACTGTAGGAGTATAGGACACATTTAAATACATTCATCTTCTAAAAAGATTTGTCCAAAAAGTATACAATTATCAAAAATACTGCCACAGAAAGGGTTTTATAAAATTCCAAAATCCTGGTTTAAGCATGTTTGTTTGCTGTGTCTCAGATTTTTTCCATCTTTTTTCTGAATTTTTTTAAACACCATTTGGAATGCATTCAAACTCTGAAAAATGGTTAAGTTTTCTCCTTTTATGTGAATACCTATGCTAGCTTTTCACTCAAAAAGCTTTATTACTTAAATGAGGGGCATTACTGAGCAATCATGAATTACTGAGTTAATTGCCCTTTGAAATAAATTTAAATTTTGATGATTTATCAGTATTTCAAGTTTGAATTGAACATTTTATATTTTAAAGATTTTGAGGAATGATCCTATATTAACAGGTTAGCAAGGACCTTTTAAGGTAAAAGTTAGAATTATTTGCCCTATAGTGATAAGATGAAAGATATTGATTATTAATGACAGACTAAAATGTTTGAAGGGAATTGCTTTGAAACTTTCTCTAACAAAAATGTTAACCAAGCAGATAACAATGGCAACAAGAGAGTACATGATCATGATAATGAATATTGACGATAGTTCCATTTTTTTAAAAAGTGGAATTTAAAAATATAAATCAATTATGATAAATAGCCAACCTTAAAAAATATGTCACACTATTTATACCCTTCATTGATAGCCTGTATAGATTTTAATTCTAAAATGCCTTGTCTCTTCTTTTTACATGATGCTAAAAGAACACCTCAAATACACATGAACTCACATGTATGAACCCCACTAAAAACAAGTGCCTACAAAATTTATTTTTTCATTGGTACTGTAAAATCATGTTTACTGGTAATCAAGTAAAACCTGGATGTCTTTCACATAGACCATCATTCTATTTTTCTATGATTTGTAAACTGTCACTTATAGGTATGTTATACTGTGTAAGTGGATATTTATATGTCACAAAAATTTGCAAATATCAGAAAGTGGATTTATGTATCACAAGATGTTTCCAAATCTTTCCAAAGAAGAACTATTTATGAAAATGTGATTTCTTACATTTAATACTGTTTTTTGTGATATCATTAACTAAGCAGGTACATGTTAAGAGTATGCCATTATTCTAATCATTCTATTCAGTTGTGTAATACCTCATCATTTATATAATTGTTTGAAATATACATTGCTAGTTTGATAAAGAACCTGATTACACATTTCTTTGTCATATCATGAAACATTATATTGTTATATGAATAAACTGCTATTTACACATACTTTGTATATTGTTTCTTAATAAAACATTTGTAATTTGTCCAATATAATTATTATCTCAGTACCTGAACAGCCAAACTTATTCATTGGAGATGCTGTTTATATAAAAACATAATTTCATATGATAGAAGGAAGTTTGTGTAAAAATAAATTATTTGTGTGAATAATTTCAATTTGCAAAAATCACAAATATTTCCACGTTACAAAATTAATCACTTGTATAGTAGTTGGAAGGTTCTTTTGCATTATTTAAGAAAAACTGCTGATAAATCACCTACCAAAACTATCTTCAAATTCTAATGGGCTGGTACTTCTGTCAATTCCTGAAATGAAATTTAAACAATAGCAACTCTATGCAGTCTGAATGAAAAACTTTTTGTGCCCGCACCAATTTTAACTAGCCCAAAAATTCTAACAAAAGTTGTGGCCAGGTTTTTTAAATTTACTTAAGTATGGAGAAAATAATGCAAAGTGATAGCACTTGATTTACATTTATTTCTGATATTCTTAGAAAGGGTCAAATAATTTCATTTACATGTAGCTTATGACATCGTAGCTTACTAGAAAAAATTCAATATGCATATCCCTCTTGGTCATAAAAAATACAATGGGTGTAAATGCTATATATAGATTATTTTGGAAAATTTCCCTCAGCCATTGTGTCTGTATTTTTTTCGGATCTCAAAACATTGCAAGACTGTTGGACTACTCACCCTACATTTTATGCTAGCCTGAAGGAAATTTTACTAGACTGGGGCTCGGGCTTTGTCTATTTTTTGCAGACTGTCTATAGACATTTTACAGAAGTTAGATAGATAGATAGATTTATTTCGGCAAAGGAAGCATATACATAGTTGACAATATAACATAGGATAAAATAATGAACATTATTAAATACTATATCACATACGAGTAAAACTATGACATGCTCACCAAAACCAAGGATAACACAAAAAAGGGCAAAAAAGCTCTTATTTCCATTGTGGTCCTTTGTATTGGCGGCATGACATAGAGAGGCAAACCTTAATATAATCATGTTTAAAAATACTAATAAATCATAAAAATGTATATCCAAGTCAAATCTTGAGTTAATGATACTCCTGTTTACAGCTAGGATTTAAAACACATTACTAAAATTGTAATAAGATAAATGGCAGACAATTTAAAATCCTGAGCCAAATATGTAAAACATGTTTAAAAAATTTTTTTAAATACTGTTCATAAGATGACTTTTGATGGCAACCTTAAAACTTTGTAACCTGTTGATCTCCGTTAACTTTACAGGTAAATCATTCCATAATTTAATACCAGAGAAAGCAAATGATTTAGAACCCTGGCCTTTGACCTTAGGTAGACAATATCCACCCTTTTGACTAAGTCTTGTACTATAATTATGAATGGAATCTTGTGAAATAAAGTGTTCAGACATGTAATCCGGAGATAGGCCATTTTTTATCTTAAAAACATGACACAACATTATCTGTTCAACTCTTTTGTGGACCGGTAACCAGTTAAGGGACTTAAAGTGGGATGGGTCAATGTGGGCTCTAGAGTCCAAGTCAAGTACAAATCTCATTATTTTGTTTTGACAAGTTTGTAACTTATTTTTTAAAGACTGTGTCAAGCTATTATACCAAACAGAGCATGCGTAATCATAGTGACACTGAATAAGAGACATAACCAGAAGTTTCTTGGTATGCTGAGTAAGAAACTCTTTCTTGCGGTAAAGAAATTTTAACCGAGAGTTGGCCTTCTTAAGAACAGACTCGGCCATGGCGCAAAATGACAGATTTTGGTCTATAGTAATCCCAAGATACTTGATAGATGAAGTTGATTCAATGGATGTACCATCACAGCCTCACAGGTTATATGCAGGTTATATTGCGACCTAAGTTTTTGCCTGGACCCAAATAGAATTGACTCGGTTTTACCCATATGCAATGACAACTTATTGTCCACTAACCATTGGCTGACCAATTCCATATCATCTGTCAATGCCTTTTCAACAACAGATAAACTTTTACCAGATACAAGGATACCAGAATCATCAGCATACAAAAGCAATTTATTTTTGACCACAGCTGACATATCATTTACATAAATTAAAAAGAGAAGAGGTCCAAGGATTGAGCCCTTAGGAACACCACATGTAATTTTGGAATTGGAAGAATAAGTACCAGAGACATCTACAAGCTGCTGTCTATCTGATAAATATGATTTGAACCAATTTAGGATGTCAATACTAAGACCTGATGCTTGCAGTTTCATTAAAAGAATGGAATATAAGTGTATAAAAAGGAAATCAGTGTTATGTATTAGAATAAAGCCTTATTATAATTCATTGCATTTAAGATGCAAGTTTAGAAAGAGGACAACAAAAAATATTGAAATTTATGGCTATCATAAACTTTCAATTATGATAACAGTCAGTATCTCCTTAAAAGACCACAATTAAATAACAAAAACTGGCTATTTAGGTTTACATCAGGATGTGCGTCTTCATTTTGCATGAACTTAATGCACCCGGACCCTTCTTAAGATTCCAAACCCTTCAGATATATTGGAGATGTAATATTATCCAGAGATGTCTCATTAAATGGTAAGTAAAAATCATAAGTGTAACATGTATCAGCAGTTGGTTGGGACAATGTGGTAATTTTGCGATCAGTGTTATGTATCAGAATAAAGCCTTATCATAATTCATTGCATTTAAGATAAGCATTGAATAAAACAGAAATAACCTACCATTGCTTTCCCAGTACTGGACAAACATACTACGTGCTTGGGGTGCTGCCAAACAGAGAGCATTTGCATCGGTTTTGAACATCTTCATTTCAACTCGCTTAACAACCTTCGATGGAAGCATCATCTAAAAGATTACAACAACAGAAATTATACCTACAATTTCTCCCAATGAAAAATATTTTAATTAAAGGAAGAATCAATGCTAATTTGCATTTAACATGTCAGACATCTGTTTAAGCAGAAACTTTGATATATTGACAACTAAAGCCCCTATCTTTCGTGGTGTGTTTATCATTTTGAAAAGAGTCTGCATGCATAAATTGCTTGTTTACACAGACTGTATATGTATCAATACCGTAAACCATGACTAATTGTAGAACGGTTAAAATTGTGACAGAAAAAGTGCCGATAACAACACAAATTGGGTTAGCAATCTATGCATACAGGCAGTTACCGGAAGTACATAAATTCCAGATACTCAAGAAATAATTGCCGATTTAAACCGGGTGGTGCTAATAATCAGTGTTCGACACTAACCCTGCAAGGAATTTTTAAATTGGCAAGTCTGGTGTCCTGTTGGGATTTTTAAAATTTCAATAGAAAATATTATACTATATAATTGAAATTGGTCTATCAACTTTAAAGAATTCATATAAGATGGTAATCTTGCAAAAAGATAATAAACATGATAAACTTGCAAAAAGTAAAAAGGAAATGAAATATTGTATACAAAACACAAAAAATCTCCAAAACCAAACATTCCAATGTCAGTGATTTGCTGATATTTTTCTGTATTTTCAACCACCCGGTGGAAAAAATGACCTGTTTTATATAGACTAAGTATTGTTTGATATTTGATGTTTACTAAATTACTATCATATAAGAACACTTACATAGTGAAGAAAGTCTGCAATTCCATAATCAATAGTGTACTGGATTTCGGATAAACACTGCGTGATTTCCTTTTTATACACTGATTTGGTGATTATTTTTAAATGCAATAATTATTTGTTCTTATCTTTCTTATCATGAAATTGATATCATTAAAGATTCATTATGTAAAGGAATTATTTAAGTAAGGAATTATGAGCAAAAATTTAGTTTCTTGCTGCAATGCAGTTAAACCCTCAGGGACACTTGTCTTTTCTTGACAAGTTTATTTAAGTAGGCCTATAGTACAGCAATATTATAATATAAAATGAAAATTCCTAACTGGAATATGAAAATCCATTGAATCTTAAATAACTACAAACAAAGTGACAAATAAATCATACTTATCAGGGCCGGCAATATCTTATTTTGACTTACTTGTCCGTTTTTATGTAAAGCATTTTTTAACTTGTCTGAATGATATTTACATAGTTAATTCTTGAAAATCGTCACTTGTCCATTTAGACTGTGGGACAACCTAGGCAATATGGACAATTGATTTTGCCTGCCCCATGCTTATTGAATTCAATTTATTATGACCCTTTTGATTCTTAGACATGACATGGTAGTCTGTATATTAGCTACTGGACTTAATTTACAAGAGCCAACTGCATGTGTGATTTTGTTACCCAACTTAATAATGCTTGAAAGTAACATGTGGATTTCATTCCTTCATTACTAAAAGTTATTACACATGGGCTATCCGATCAACATTCCAAATGGTAGAACTAAAGAATAGTTAAAACTAGGTCAATATCAATACCGGAAGACATTACAGTTTTTTCATAATCACATCAATAAAAAAACAGGGACCTCTACTTTAAAGAGGGGACTTTTAAATTCAAAAACAGATGGGATTCCTCAGGCTGAAAAGCTAGTGTCAACCCCTGATAATAGGAGAATGAAAAGTGTGAAAAGAGCACATTCAAGTTAATCCGTTTTTTTGTTGTCAATATTTAGTCAGGCATCATATTGTTACCAAAAAATCTCAAATTCATACCGTAACTGTGACATTCAAACATTGCTGAATTAAGTTCAGGGTTCTCGGGGACGCTTATTTCGGCGTCCCGGTACGCATGTTTATTACAGCTGGACGCAAATATTTCAGAGCAAGGATTCCACGTACTTAATTTTGCCTGGGGACGCATAAACATTACCGATTGTTTACAACCAGAAATACACAAATGCGTCAGCGCGTGTCAGTCTATAGGTAGGCGGTCCTATGCACATCGACCCGTGAAGCAATTAGCCAATCAGCGATAACGCTTGTAAACGATCATTATCAGACTAATGTATACACGCGCTGTACAGTACATGTAATTACCAGATATAACACGAGGTGATAATTTTATATCTTTGATCAACAGTTGATTGGAAATTAGCAAATTTTACCGACAAAAGGATAAAATTATCGGCTATTTACGCCGCAAGTTTAAATGACAAATGAGTGTAATTTTGAATGATTGTCGAATATTTTCGGCATTTTCTATGCACGATTTTGCTTTAGTTTCATTCTTGCAAAAACTTTCGATAAGGCTATTAAGAATTTAAGATATTGTGCCGAAATGCCAGGACAACAAACCAAAATACACATACGCTTTTCTTTGATATTTAGTTTATATCCGAAAATTGATCCCGAACATCGGCGATTTCACGTTCGCCAGAAACCCTAAAATTTCGCAAAAATTCTCGGTTTCCAAGCCAAACATGCGAATGAATTGTTCCTTTATTATTTAATCAACATTAAATCTTTAAATATCGATCTTCAATTTGCCCCCTTTTGAAGATATTTGCTAAAATAATTGTCGATCGGATGAATCTCTTACACACTGTTTGAAGCTGTACACGATTTTCCTATTCATTCCGCTAAACGCTGCCTATATACATTTACGTTTTTTTTTACAAATATAAACTTTTTGTCTTTAGAGTGGACTTATTTAACCAGAATGAAATTTGATTTGGTATAAAAGTGGGGAAAAAAAAACGATTTCCATGTGTTGATGCATTATAATGAAATAATTTCATAATAAATATCAACAACAAAACAATAATTATACATTGTAGTTCAGAGTTTCTTTTGAATAACTATAAACTTTGGAAGTCTCTTGAAGATTCAAAATATCAGCAATGCTATTGTGAGCATTGAATGACTAATCTGTAAACATATTAATTGCGACGCGCTTTTGGACTCCAACTTTTTCAGGGTTGGGAGTCCATGGACTCCATGTTTTAAAGTCCTAGTGAGAACCCTGAAGTTAATCACACAAGCCCAAAATAAAGTTATACCTACTAATGGATAAATGGTGTTTGATTAACTAAGGGGCATAACTAATGCTGGAAGTGTTCACTACAATTGTAATGAATAACTGTTTCCATTTGTGATATTTGTTTTCCTTTCATAGACAGTGAAATTATATTTCAATCTTACATGCAAAACAAACAAATATCCTCTATAAGATTATCAGTGATTTTTTTTTTCCAATTTTCAAAACAACCTGTGGCTTTCTGAAGGGGAATGTATAGCGGAATAATTCACAAAAGGGGGAAACCTTAAAAATCAAATTTCAAACAGCTGAAAATGAAATTTACCCACACATTTTATGGAAAAAAAACTATTTCAATTCAATTTCGAGTGAGACTAATAAAAGGATTGGAGCACCACACTAAATACCATATTCCGGTATATATACCGGACACGGCGCTTGAATGATAAAATGCTAAAATCTTGCCTTTTTACCCAAAGGAATGAAATTTAAAAGGTCTAATTCATCTTTTCACACCGATTTATGTATGATAATGAATGAAAAATTAAAAAAGCGGCGAAAGAAATGATATTTGTCTGTTTTCTGATATTGATTTATGCAAGTGTCTAGGGGTACTGCTCCAAACCTGTATTGAGTTAAATCCTTCAATTTCACATGCATGGTATATGGCAGAGGCTCTCTATAGGGACAAATTTCTGTCTTCTAGCTCATATAAGTCAGATGCTGTTAAGTAAGTCATGGTTCTGGTAAGAAAGAGCACAAGGCATTCTAGGGGAAAAGAATTAATAATAGGGTTTTTAGGGGAAATTAATAATATACCTATTTTGGGCTAGGAGCCTAAGTTATTCGGCTGTAAAATACAGTGAAATAAATCATTGAATAAATCACATATGGATAATAACTTATTACAAGAACCGGTTGAACCGGGTGATTCTCCCTGAGTAGGTTTAGGACACAGAAAAGAATTTAAAAAAATGAACAAAGAGCAATAACAACAAAATTAGGCAAGGCAGAGTTATGGTTCTTTTATTCAATAAAATCTATCTACCTGTAAATGTTTTGTGTAGAGATCTCTTATAGTTTCAGAGTTATGTCCCAGACAAAGTTCAAAGTGCAAAAATGAACAAAGGGTAATAATCAAAAATTATTATTATGTAGTTTGTGTAATGGGAAGGGACTATGAATTCATTTCTGACTTAGGATAAATGTTTTCAACCATCAAACACATATTTTGTGAACATTCAATGAGCCGTACCCCATACTGAGCGCGAATTTCAAAGTAACAGACCTCTGTAATGTATTTAAAGCAGGGCTCGACACTAACGATGGTCCGTTAGCCCGAGGCTACCAATTTTCCCCAAGGACTACCCGAGTTTCCAAGCTGGGTATCCCGTCGGGCTACTCAAAATTTCAGTGACCTGATGTCTCTAAATTCACTAAAAATAATTAATAAAATAACATTTTTTAGGCTATGATTCAAAACGAAAGATAAATTCATCTTACTAGTAAATAATTAGCCGTTGGGTCACTAGTGTCAGTCACAGCAGACGCATAATAGATTCTATTTAATCTCTATAAAGTTGCGAAAAGTGAAACCGGAAGTCCAACTTAATTGCCGATTTTTCCAGCCTACTTCAATAGAATTCTTTGTCTATTAAACATTTCAATGAAAATATTTGCTCATATTGGAACCTATTCAAGGGTTTAAACTTAAAAGAATATGATCTGTTTATTGATGTAAATCACACTGACAATGATAACCAAAATAAACGTGTTGTCTGAAATAGATGTCTTAATCATGTACAAGCAAATGTAAGCAATAATGCCAATACATGTATATGAGGAAAAAAATTGTTAACAAATACTAATACCCTAGGCATAAAAAACTAAGGCAATATAGTTTGATTAAAAATGGCTTTACATTTATAATTTCATGTTTAAATTAGGGACAACAGATATTAATCTAATGTCCCTATTTAAATCTTCTGACAGTTAGATAACTGAATTACTAGCACTAATAAAAGTTTGTTATTCTGATATTTTGTTGTTTTATGTCTGACAAAATAAGTTTGTAGAATAAATCGATTAGAGTAAAGACAAACATATTTTGTTCTTGTCCAAGCTTTTTACTTCTGTTTTGAATTTAAAAACACATCTAAAAGGTCATAGATTATCTATACCTGAAAGTAGATTTGTAAGCTCTATTGAAATATTTTTTAATACAAAAGCCAGGTATTACATAAATTTAAAACTGACATACTTATTTAGCTAATATTGCCAATACATTCTCCCCCTCCTATAAGCTGTCAATAATATAAGCTGAGCTGATTGCCTAGCAATTTTATTTGCAACACACCTTAGAAATTCCTGGCTAGAACCCTGTACCTGTAGGTAATGTCTGGCCTTTCAAAAACTATTG